GAGGGCGACGTCGTCAGCAACAAGGACATCAACGTCACCACTGCTGCTCTTCATCCCGAAAGTGGGCGTACTTGTTTTCAACTTAGGGCCCCTTCTAACCACCTAAACCAGAGATTGTTGGCGGCACCATCACCAACCCCGCGAGCGGCCAAATCCGTAGCTTCCGCATCAAACGTATCGTCGATGAGCGTTCTGGCTCGGATACGGAATCGGATGGCGAGGATGAGGACATCAACAGCGTCGTATAGTGTACCTACAGCAGTCGCACATTGAAGGTGTATATTCCAAAGCAATGTATCTCATCGTTCGCGTTATGCGATGCCCTCAGCCAGATTTCAACATGGCCGGTTTTTCGGACATGTTCAGCCCTGGCTCCCTACCACTCTTTTTCTACATGGGCACGCTTTCCCTAGCGTCCAGGCAATCTAATCTGTGCTTAATACATGCGTGCTGCCGATCCCATCCACTGGCGCCAAATGGACTGGTGGCAGTGCCTGAGTATATACCCGGGATCCCGGGCATGTTGCGCATCTTCTCATATTGAGCGCCCACACTGCTTTCCTACATGCGCGGATTTCCGCTCATGTTCAAATGCACCAATATGTGGCCTCATCTATATTGCATATCTGGGTCGTAAAGTATAAAAGCTGGACATGCCCGGAAACCCGGCCGTGCGAATGGAGTGGCGACCTAGTATCCCTGGAATATTTGGAGTCAAGGCTATATGAATCGGCGCTAAGGGTGAAATACATGGCGCTTATGCTAGCCCTACCGGCGCCTCGTCTACCCCTAAGGCTAGGAGCCTCTTCAAAACCCCCTTCTATGTCGTGTGCCCACTGCTTGTATCCATCGCGACCCTTGAGCACCGAACCCTTGGCGACGGGGACAGTGTCCATGAGTGGTAGCGTGTAGAGGATCTCGAGGGTATCGTCTAGAGGGACGAGAGTGGGTGAAGGCGGAGAGGGAGTGTGAACGACGATAGGATAAAATTCGAGGGGACCGTAGACGTAGGAACCGTAGAGCAGAGCGTCTGGGGTGACGTCTGCTTCAAGGACTTGCTCGACTTCGAGCGAAGAGTGGTGTGAGGAGATAGGAGAGGGAGGAGGTCCGGTTGCTGCGGCCGAGGGAAGTGGAGAACCTGGCGCAGTGACCGAAGTTGACGCAGGAAGCGCGGGAGCGAGAGAAGATGAGAAGGATGCTGCGGATAATCAGGAGCGACAAGTCGTCCTGGTACGCGTAGATTAGCAGGTCTGTGACCAAAGTTTGCTGGCGCGTTGATATCCCGATGACGGTTAGGACACGGTTGGAAGCCGCAAGCGTAAAGATCTTCTTCTTCTTCGTCCCAGTGACAATCTTCCTGGTCTCGTGTGTCAAATACGTGAAAACAGCGGTAGCAATGAAGATCACTCGGAGGAGTGTTCTCGTCGAAGACAGGCTCAGTGGAGGAGTCGTCTGAGTGATCCGATGCCACGGCTAAGTCGGTTGAAGGTACAGAGAAGCGCGATGTTGAGAACGATATCCCCTACTCGTGGAGAATGAGCACCCGTTGGGGCAACCTCGCTACGAAAGCCTGTCGGAAGGCCTTGTGGAGGGTAGAGGTGAAGACGGAGGAAGAGGACTGCGAGGGTAAAACCCAAAGCTATGTCCGACTGAAACCGTCCACGAGTAGTCGATGGGGAGATCTTGAATCGTTGGCGAAAGGTGAAGCGCGCGTTGCTCAACGTAAGCAAGCTAGAGCGCAGGGCTCATAACCTGATGAACTCTGAGTAAGGCAGGGACCGACTGTAAGCACACGAAGAGGAGCGATCCTCAGTCAGTGATAGAACGACTATATTGAGGGCATAAGTAGTACCTGTAAGCACACGAAGAGGAGCGACTACAGATACAGTAAGCATATGTGTAAGGAGCGCATAAGAGTGTAGGTACTTACTCCTCAGTCAGTGATAGAACGACTGAAGAGCAGTGCGAGCCAGAGTCCTCCCTATATACTGTCCAGGAGTAGCATACGTAAGCAGTGATGGGAAGACATATATGGCGCAGAGGTCAGACCGAACAGAAGATGGTTACAGGGCTGTGCGGGCTGTGCGCTCAAGACAAAGAAAGTCCGTAAGTGGAACAAGGGAACAAAGAGAGAAGCGTAGAAGAACGGAATGGAAGAGATAAGGAACTACAAGGCAGTGAAGTGACATATGGAAATATGGGAAGTCTCTCACAGAGTCCATGTGGATGCGTAAACTGTCCTAATGTACGTATGTTCGATATCCAATGTTCAACAGCATGTCGCAGATGACCCGCCTCTGAGGCTAGTCCAGCCGCTAACGTCGAGATGCATGTGGTATCAACGCTCGTGAGAACTGCACAGAAAAAAGTACTTGTCTGTGCCTGCGTTCACAGAGGAAGGCTTCGATAATGATTGGACTGTACCCGCGGTAATTGACGTGTGGCCGGATCGCAGTTGTTCGGAGTCGGAGTCATCTGAGGCAAGGTCATCACGTCTGCGCTCTCGAGCGGACTCCGGAAGCTCCCCCTGAATGTGAGTTGACAGGGCCTTGGTAATACCGACGGCGCCACATCTACAACCATCCCAGAGCTAGTTTCTTTGGCTCGGACGGACTAGACTTGAGGATTTGGAGGCGCACTGGGCCCTGTGGGCGCCTACAACCAGCCCGCTGACATAACAATGGCACCCAAATTAAGCGTCCCGACGGTCGACTTTCAGTTCGGCCGAGCCACTTATTCAACATCCACAACCCAGGTCCAGAGTCTCCCGAAAACCCGAGCGAGACAAGGCAGCCTTTTATCCCGCATTGCTCCACGAGGCTGTGGTTGTCGGTGAGTCAATACTTCTCTGTGCTGTCCATCCGCTCCTATGACAAGTCGCTCATATATCTGCTTCGAAGCATGCAGGACTCATGGCCCCGATGAAGCTTGCCATCGTCGGTGCGGGGCCGTCCGCGTTTTACGTGGCATCGAGGCTGTTGACGTTGGTTCCGCCGTCCAGTGCGCTGGCGTCGTCCATCAATATACACATGTACGACCGCCTGTGGGCGCCGTACGGCCTCGTGCGCTACGGAGTAGCACCAGACCATCCTGAAGTCAAAGTACGATCAATAATGGTTGAGTATCTCGCGCCACTGACACACGCGTAGAATTGCACACACAAGTTCGACGCAACGGCCAGGGACCCTCGTCTCCGTTTCTTCGGCAACGTGAACATCGGTGACGCGTCACTCATCCCGGACGCCCTCCCCGTCCCGCTCGAGTCCTTGTTGTCCCATTATACTCACCTCCTCTTTGCCTCTGGCTCGCCCGTCCCGACACTGCACCCTGCACTCCCGCCCTCGCCCTTCTGCCTCCCCGCGCTCTCGCTCGTGCACTGGTACACCCAGCACCCGTCGCGCCCCGCGGCCCCGCCCCCGCTCGAGCGCACGAAGCACGTCACGATCATCGGCCAGGGCAACGTCGCGCTCGACGTCGCGCGCATGCTCCTCACACCTCCCGACCACCTCGCCCGCTTCGACGTCCCCGAGCCCGTCCTCTCCGTCCTGCGCGCGTCCGCCGTGGAACACGTGTCCGTCGTCGGCCGCCGCGGGCCCCTCCAGGCAGCGTTCACCGCCAAGGAGCTGCGCGAGATGCTCCGCCTGCCCAACGCCGCGATGGCCCCGCTCCCCGCCGCGCTCCTGCAGCCGCCCCCGGGGGTGCCGACGACGCGCCAGCAGACGCGCTTGCTCCAGCTTCTGTCCAAGGGCCCGGACAACGCGCACGGGTCCGCGCCCAAGAGCTGGGCGCTCGACTTCTTCCGGCAGCCCACGGGCCTGCTGGCCCCGCGCGCCCCAGGGAACCCGTCCGCGCGCCCGCTACTCACGCTCGCACACACCGCGCTCGACGCGAGCCATCGCGCGGTCCCGACGGGGGAGACGAGCGCGCTGCACACCGATCTCGTCGTCACCGCGCTCGGGCACCGCGCGGAGCCGGGCGCCCCGTGGGCGGACGGCGTCGTGGGCGGCGCGCACGTGCGCACGCGCGGGGCGAGGGTCGTGGACGCGGGCGGGCGGCTGGTCAGGCGGGTGTACGCGAGCGGGTGGGCGGCGCACGGGGCGCGCGGGGTGCTCGCGACGACGATGATGGACGCGTACGCCGCGGCGGAGACGGTGTTGCGCGACCAGTTCCCCGACGCGTTCGGGGGCGCCGACGAGGCTGCGGAGGAAGAGGTGGAGGTGCTCCCGCGCGCGGTTGCAGACTTGGACGCGGTGCCGCCAGAGGTCGTGGCCGGGGTCGAGGCGGGGAAAGTGACGCAGTTTGGGGACTGGGAGAAGATCGACGCGGAGGAGGTCGCCAGGGGGAAAGCATTGGACAAGGAGCGCGAGCGGATGGTGTCTTGGCAGGAGGCGCGCGAGTTTTTGGCCAGGACGAGGGCGTAGGCCCTAGCCACGTTGACAAAGTAGCTACCACCACTCTGCATCTCACTAACACATAATCCGAGCTCTGCATTTCTGTGCTCCCCTCGCTCGTCTGCATTTCCCCTCCGTCCGTTCACGAAGAGACGGTGCGTGCTCTCTATTATAAACCAAACCCGAGGGAAAGATAGAGTTCTCCAAGGAACATCTAAGTTCTTTTTCGCTCGCCACTTGTCATATCCTACGTATGCTGTGCAAGACTCGCGCGGCGCGGTGCCGCGTGCGCTTTCATGTCTCCGGCTCTGCCGTTCTTGAACGTTGAACCGTTCGCCTTCGAGATCCCGCCAAGATAGAGACGCGCGATGCGAAGCCTTGCGGAGCGCGAAGATATTCATGGCAAGCATCCCCTGGCCGGAGCCCTCAGGCCTCAGGCCCAACGCGAAGCTTGGGCGCATCGCCGCATCTGTTGTATCGCCGTTCTAAGACATTCTGTTGCGCAAGGTTCAACGTTCAGCCAGGGCAAGACATGGCATGTCGCGCGTGGCCTATTCTGAGCGTGCGCACATGGTAGACCAGGCCCGTCCGTCCGCGGCATGTCTACGGCGTGCGACCGACATCATCGCTCCTAGCGCCCTCGACAGACACTGGGTAGTATACTTATTCGTATGTAGGTGCTCACTCTCCCTGTGCTCGTTTTCCTTCGTCTGCCCCTCCACGCCCAATACGACTCCTTTCGTCTTTCTTGTTGCTCGCCTTGACCCTCTTCCTGCGCGGCGCGTCCACGAATGCCCCACCACCGCCGCCACCACCACCGCTCGCGCCGCCCCTCAACCGCGATGGCGCGCGTGAGCGCCATCGCGCTCGCGCTCTGCGCCACGACGTCGCCGCTCGCCGCGCACGCGCAGAAGCTCTCCGACAGCCAAGTGGACGGAGTCGTGCAGCGGCTCGCGGAGGGGGCGACACACAGGTGCGTCTCTCGCTCTCGTCGCGCGCGACCAACCGTCAGCCGACATTCTTCCACCTGCTCTTCCCGTCCGCCCGTCCGCCCTCGCTCCACCCGTCCGTCCGTCCGCCCTCGCTCCACGCTGGCTGCGGCAGCTGGGAGCTCGGCACGCGCGCCCAGGCCCTCCTTGAACTCAACTCGCCCGCCTACTCCGTCCTCACCGCCAACGCCGCCGTCCCGCCCTCGTCCAACGGCCCGGTCTCGCTCTCAGACGTCCTCGGGATCGCCAAGTCCGTCGTCGCGAACCTGACGAACACGAGCACCGTCGCGCAGCCGCTCATCAGCGGCGACGGCGCCGCGGGAGACCCTGCAAGCCTCGGCGTCGCGGTCTTGATCGCGAACCTGACCGGCCAGACGGGCGAGGACTACGGTGGCGCGGCGGCTGACCAGCTGCAGTACTTGCTCGAGAAGGTGCCGCGGACGAGCGACGGCGCGATCTCGCACAGGGTGAGCCAGGTGCAGCTCTGGTGAGTGTCTTTCGCGTCTCTTGCGTCTCAGCCCTCCCCGAGCCCTCCTCTTGCTTCGACGCCGCGCGCCGGACGTGCATCGCGCGGGTTGCCCTGGCCGCCCGTGCGCAAGCCATGTCTCGTTCTCATCTCTGGGTTCCTTCCGCATCGCCCTATCCGCTGCGCGACGGTGCGTCCTCACCGTGTGTGCCCAGCCATTCAGATTCCGACATTTTCGGTTCCGAGGCTTTTCGTCGGCTGATGATCAGCCCGAGAAGTGCCCGCTGACCTTGATGCCTCCCAGGTCAGACTTTGTGTACATGGTCCCGCCGTTCCTGGCGTATTACGGCGTGCTCTCGCGGAACGAATCCTTGATCCAGGAAGCGTACGTTCAGTGCCAGCTTTATCGGCAATACCTCCGCGACGACGCTGCGGGCGGGCTCTGGAAGCACATCCTCCTTGGGGACTTCAACGACGCAGGGCATTGGTCTACAGGTCCGTACCATTCTATTCGATAGCGAACAATACTGAAGTCTGCTCCAGGGAACGCATGGGCTGCGGCGGGCATGCTGCGGGTGCTCGGGACAATCCAACGTTCGTCGTACGCCAAGGACTTCACCGCTCAGCAGAGCTCTCTTGTCAGCTGGGTCTCGGAGATCCACGACGCGATGTACGCTCACCTCGTACGTATCTCTTGTTCACGGCAGAGCGTAGTGCATTAGGGCTGACGCACGCGCGCAGCCGTCCAGCGCGCTGTTCAACAACTACGTCGACGCCAACAACTCCTTCGCGGACGCGTCGGGCACAACCCTCCTCGCCGCCTCCGTGTATCGCCTCGCGCTCATGGCGGGCGTGCACACGCACCTGCCCAACGCGGAGAAGAGCCGCACCGCGCTCTTTGGGCCATCCAGTGGCTCGTCTTCATCTTCTGCTTCCTCGTCCTCGTCCTCGTCCTCGTCCTCGTCCCCCTCCTCGCCGTCCTCTTTAGCAGCGTCCAGTAAGACATCCAGCGCCTCCGCAGCACACCCAAGCACCACTGCTCCCCCGTCGTCGCTCGCGCACTTTGACGGCGACATGTGGCTCACGCCTGTCGTGAACCCGAACAGCTTCGGCGACGAGGGCTCCCAGTCGCCCGAAGGCCAGGCGTTCGTCGTCGAGCTCCACTCCGCCTACCGCGATTGGGTCGCCGCAGGCTCGCCCGGGGCTAACGCAGCTACTGCGCGCCGTGCGCCTGCGCTCGCTGCTGTCGCTGCCGTCGTGCTCGCGATGGCGGTCGGGCTCATTCACTGAAGGCGTCGGCCGGTGGTTAAGGGCGTGACGTGCGGGGATTTTACTGCGCTTCTTTTATCCATTTTCGGCTCTTTTCGGCGGTCGAGTGTGCTCGTTTGTATTGCACTACGCTGTGGATGTTTGTGGGCGCCGATTGGACGATCTACATTGTTGTCTGCTCACACTCGTTTACCCTGCTATTTTTACTATAATGCGAGATGTTTACGAGCTGCATAGGACGGACACTCTATTTGTACAAGCACTTTCCTCGTAAGTAATCCACAGGGCGCTCGGCACACCCAAAAGTATGTAGTCACATGAACAACGTATTAGTGGCGGATCGGTGAGAGAGAGAGAGAGAGAGAGAGAGAGAGAGAGAGAGAGAGAGAGAGAGAGAGAGAGAGAGAGGGCAGTTCAATCACCTCCTCTACCGGAGGTGATCCCGGAACGCTACTTAGATAAGCACGGCAGCACGCCGACTCCCGCACTGTCCTGTAGACGCCGCGTCGTCCGACGAGTGGCCGCATGAGCACATGTCTAATATAGCATACACGTAAGTCACGAAACTATTGAAGCAGTGATCAGCCACCGCATATATGGAAAGTATGAATCAGAAGGTCTGCCATCAATGCCATAGCAGCCTTGTCTCCGATCCACGCCGCCAGCCTACCGATGTCCCGTGACGTCATGCGCACGAGTCACCACTTCTAGGGGTGCTCATGTCGCGAGTCACCAATCATAGGGGTGCAGGGGAATGGGAATAGGAGCACCTACACACCAGACGAGATGGGGGCAGAGGACGGGAGGGAGAGAAAGTGAGTGAGAAGTAGGAAGGCTCTGAAGGAGCAGGACAATAGTCAAGACATCGGCGCTGAAGCGCAGGGAAACGACACGAAGGACCATAGAGTAGGACAACTCGCGAAGACGAAGTCGGCGCTGATGCTCAGGGAAACAGCACGACGGCGATAATCGCGTAGGGATAGGATGAAGCTCACCCGTGGAGCTGCCGATACAGAGTCTTGAGAGCGTCCGGGACAGTTGTGTAGAAATCAGCGCTGATGCGCAAGGGAATCGGCGCTGATGCGCAGGGGAATCGGCGCTGTTGCGCAGGGGAATCGGCGCTGTTGCGCAGGGGAATCGGCGCTGTTGCGCGGGGGAACGGCGAGGAGAGAACGGCATATAGTGCGTACCGGGCGCGCGGGAGGCTCATAGAGAGGTTGGAGGGTGAACGAGAGAGAGAGAAGCTGGGACGGCCGATCTCTTGCTGGGTGCTGCTGACTCCTGTGGGCGTTCGTTGACAGAGCACATCGAAGGTCGGGCACAGACGAGACAGACAAAGAGGCGTTCAGGAGCGGAGCGGCGATGGTCGCGAGTGCTTTGGGTGAGGTTTTGACCCGTCGAGGGGCGCGGCGGTATTGTTTTTGCTTTCCTGGCAATTCTAATATTGGCGCTAATCGCTCTCGCGCGCCCTGGCTCGCGTTCGGCGCGTGGCCCCGACGCGCGCCACCGTGCCTCCGCCGCAACTGCTCATGGATGCGTGCGCGGGGCGGTGGCGTTCCAAAGGACCCGCAGTTCACGCCTGCAGAGGAGACGCGGGGCGCGCACCGCGAGCTGCGTGAGCGCGAGCTCGAGCGTACGCGAGCGGGCCTGGCGCAGATTCCACCCTACCTTTCGACACGGGAGCCACGAGAAGCGCGGCAACGCTTGTTCACAATACGTTGATCACAAACCAAATGAAACTACAAGGCACATAATCAGGAGCAAGGCTCCATAAATATCTTCAAAACAGGGCTTGATACTGACATGTGCACACACACCCTAACTTAGCTTACACCCATCCAGACCTCTGAGGGTCGTCACGAAATTCTCCCGTATGCGCCAGCCTTCCTCGTCTGGATAGATAACTGTACGTACAGCCTACCAGAGGGCTCCGCCCTCACGGGCGATAAATGGGATACAAGCAAGCACGGCACGATAGACAAGAGTACAAGACGCGAACCAACGACGTAACTTACCCCAGTACCGACTAGTGCACGACAGAAACCGATATTTGTAGTGCCTTCGCACTCTCTCTAAATTCGGGCGGTGGCATCTGTTCGGTGATCGTCACCGTCATCTCCCCCGCGCACACACGCTCGTGCTCGTCCGCGCCGTCCGCATTCGCGTTCGCACCGCTCGACGAGGCCGGCGCGGACATGCCCAGTGTCTCGGTGGGGGGCAGCGAGAGCGGCCGCGGCGCGAACAGCGGCTCTGCGATCGTGCTCCCCGTCTCCGGGTCCGCGATCGGCGCGAGCCGTTCCGCCTCCCCGCTCGGGCCCGCGGCGGACACCTCCTGCGCGGCCGCACTGGCAGCGGGGGCGAGCGTGAGGCACGCGCAGGGCACGGAGACCGCGGCGCGGCGCGGCGTGTTCGACGGGTCGAGCTGCATGTTGTCGAGGCTGGCACCATCGTCAGCCCCAAGCGATGAGAAATGAAGAAAGCACTCACTCGACCGCGACGTCGACGCACAGCGCGATGTCGTGTAGCGTCTGCATCAGGACCGCGTCGTCGACCTTCTTCCCGACCACCATCCACATGCCGCGGAATACCGTCTTGCCCATGATGACCGGCAGCTGGCTCTCGTCCAGCGCCTCCTGCTGGGATCCAGAACTTGAACCCGATGTCGATTGCGCAGGTTTCTCGATGATGGTTCCACCCGGGCGCGCGACGAGCGCGGCACGCAGGGCGGCGAACGCGGCCTCCTTCGTCTGGAACTCCACTTCTTCGTCCTCGCCGTCCTCATCCGCCACGCGTACCGTGTGCCGCCGCCGCCGCATTCGGCCCAGCCCCTGCGGAGCCCGCTCGCTTTCCGCGATTCGGTCCTCGCGCCGCTTCCAGGACAGCGTTGCCGCATCGAGGTAGTGCTCGCGCGGGGCCGCTGCAGCCGCCCGTGCCATAGCTGTGCGAGGGGTCAGTGGAACTTCTTTGGGAGCTTTACTCCGAGGGCGGGGTCGGGGCTTTGGGGGTTGAGAAGTGGACGCTGACCCAGCGCGACTCTGGGATCCGGCACCGGTTCGGCTCTTACTCCTGACCTTGCTCGCCGACGCAGTCGCAGATGGGGTACGGGCGCGAGAAGTGCTTGCGCGAGTCCCGCCCCCACGACCGCGGCCGCGGCCGCGCCCACGCCCACGCCCACGGCTCGCAGTGCGTCCGCGGGGGATGTCGGCTTCCTCGTCGCTGACACCCACGACGTCGATGATATCGTCCTCGTCCTCGTCCGGGTCCCGCAGTGGCTCCGTGTAGTCGTACGTCGCGCCGAACGCAGACACTGACGCCTGCGACGTTGAAGCCTGAGGCGGTGGCCACACCGCGTCCTTCCGTGGCCGACCCCTGGGCCGCTTCGGCAGTGTGCTCGCACTCCCGCCCATCACGGCCTCGCGCTCCAGCGTGCTGCGACTTTTTGAGCTTGGGGGCCGCCCGCGACGCTTCACCGGCGGCGCGTTGGGGTTCGCGTTCGCGTCCCGCCTCAATGGCCCCGCCGATTGCGACCGCAACCGCTCCTGCGCCTCGCGCTCCAGCGTTGCCCTGTTTTTGCTCCCTGGGGGCCTACCACGCCGCCTCACCGTCGGAACCGGTCCCGGGGGCGCACTCGTGGCGTACACGTTCAGAGCCGCTTCCGCGGCAGCTTGCCGCTCGAGCGCGTCTGCGAGGGGGCCGATGTCGACGGACTGGTAGTGCGGCAAGTGCTGCGATAGCTCTGAGCTGATGTGTGGGGCCGCGCGCGAGCCCGTGCGGGACTTTGAGCGCATGCGGCTGGCGGCGCGGGAGGCAGACGCGGAGGGCAGAGCGGGCTCGGGGGGAGGATTCTTGCGTGGACGGCCGCGGGGCCGTTTAGGTGGCGCCTCGAGTCGCTCGTCTTTGTTCTGTGCCGGTTCTTCCTCGCCGTGGTCGCGTCTAGTGCGCGAGCATGACGTACGAGAAGGGGACCGCTTGCGTCCTTGCGTCGTGGAGGCTACCCGGACGGATGAGCGCCCGCGCGCGGACGTCGACGCGGCGACGTCCCTGTGTGACACCACGGGCTGCATAGCTGAAGACCCGCGTCCGCGGCGTCTGGGCAGGGGACCGGCACTGGAGGAGAGTGCATTGTGTGATGGAGAGGGGGTCTGGTGAGCGTACGCGGAATTGAGCGCGTTCATCAACACGGTGGATGGGTTCGTCGGTGCGGGTGCGGGTACGGTGCCTTGAGAAGTTGTGGAGGGCGTTGGGAGCGTGGCGTCGTTTGTTCGCCGGGATTGGCCTCGGATGGACGAGGCGCTTGCAGCGAGTGTGGCGGATGGCTTGCGTGTGGACGATGGACGCGGTGCAAACGGAATTTCGACGTAAACACTAGAGAATGACTTACGCCGCGTTTGGTGGGGTGGCGGGTCGTTGTCGGTGGGCTCAGCTGCAGAGACTATCCTGCGTTCGGCTGCCTTCTTCGTCGGACTGTCCTCCTCCTCCCATTCTGAAGGAGACACACGTGCAACTGCACACAGATGAGCCGATGGGTGAGGTTTATAACAATCAATACTCACTGTCATGGGCGTCGCCTCCTTCGTCGCTGTCGGGCACCACCTCTTCCTCTCGCTGGCTCCTCGCGCGTTTGTACGAGTACGTCTTGTATGTATGCGCCGAGCGGGCCTTGGGCGCGTCGAACACGTCTCCCCGCTGAGGGGTCAACGGGGGATCTGGATCGGGGACCACGGGAGAAACATTGCGGCGTTTGCGTTTTCTGAGAACGGAGGGAGGAGGATCCCCAATATATGCGTGAAGTGAGACAGGCATGGGGACCGCGAGTGCAAGAGTTGTAGTGTAGCGTAGGATGGAGAGAGAGAAGGGTGGCGAGCTCCGCCATTTTGTGAGACGGCGGGAGCAGATGCGTCCAATATTCTCACGCCGTGTGCGAATGGGTTCGCCATAGAATAGTTATATAAGTATTGATGGGCATGCCCGCCTAGCTCAATCGGATAGAGCGTCAGACTCTTATCTGAACATTTGAACTATCGGGTGTATCTGAAGGCTGCGAGTTCGACCCTCGCGGTGGGCTAATGGAAGCTTTTTTTGGATTTATACTCACTGTGTTACGCTTGGTGGAAACCACACCTTGACATGTGATACTTGCTCGATACTTGCAACTTGAACCTATGGTCTCGTAACTTTTATGCGACAACAGCCTGAAGTTTATGCTGAAACGCGGGCAAGTATAAGTAAGTAGTCGCGTGGCTAGCTACGTTTCAGGACGGCGCGGCTGGCGTTGGGGCTGGTCAGCCTCACCAGGCCCAGGGCGATAAGCGTTTGACAGAAGGCTGGCGTGCCTGAGAGCTAGAACCCATCATCGGTAAATAGCCCGGGGCACGAACCGCTCACCCGCTCCCCTCCGACGCTCTCCCTCTCCCACTGCGACACCCTCCGCGCGCACGACGGCAACGCTTGCTTCAGGTCCCATGGAGGGGCCCTCAAGCCTCCAGGCCGGAGATTCTCCACATACGCGCGTGGGCTCGTCCTACCTCGAGGTGAGTTCGACTTTTCTGCTGCGGGGATACGGTACATTCCGCAAGAGACCTCCCTATATGCGTCCCGCGCTCGTCTGGTTGGGTACCCTGCTGCACCTCCCGTGGACTCTCGACATTCACGGTCAGCCACGACGGCGGGGCGAGCGCAGCAACCCGAGGACGTTGCAAGCGCGCGTGCCGCTTGATCAGCCCAGGCCGCTGCCCAGCTCCCGCGGGGTTGGTGGCGCTCCACCGCCCATCATCCACATCTCCGGTGGGAGCAGGAGTGCCCAGTCCACCGACGGGGCTGTCCGGCTGCAACGGACGGCGTCATCGTGCGACGCGCTCCAGCAGGCACAGAACGCGAGCTCGCGTCGCCACTCCCGCTATCTTCGTCTTCGCCTGGCGTCTGGACCGTCGGGCGCGAAGCCCTGCGCGCGCCCAGGCGGTCCTCGTCGTGCTTTCCTCCTTGCACTCCTGCAGCCTGCCCCGGGGACGGGCCCGTCCTTGTTCCATGTTCCATCCATGGCGGGCTGGGCGCGGAAGTTTGCGTGGTGGCGCAGAGCATATGGCGCACCCATCCGCGCGCTGGCATTTCCTCCTGCGCTCACACGCCCCGTCGCGCGCAGATAGCGCGGCCGGTCAGCCCATCGCACGGCGCGGCGCGGCGGTGGGCAGATTGCTCCCGCGACTGACACCCCATCTTCTTGTCCGCGACGCTCGTCTTGAACCCAGATTGCGTTATGTACAGGACAAGGCACTGACCCCTTTCGCCCCCTCCCTTTCAGACCCTCGCCCCCATCATGCCGGCACACATCTACCACGCCCACGATATGCCGAGGTCACCCGCGTCGTTGCACGAAAAGCTCTCGGTTGAAGTTGAGAAGCTGCACGGTGCGCACGTTACATCCATTGCCTCCTGAATGTCGCTCATCTGTTCGATTCCGATCTGCAGCCCTGCACGATCACGAACAGCACTATGTAGTGCCCGACCCGGACTATGATGATTGGGACGACCCGAACATAGACTCAGATGTGGTATCGCTTGGTACGTCTTCTCTTTCGGTGTTTCCGGAGAGCTTGGCGTAGCGGGTAGATGTGCGGGGGAACCATGCACCCGCAGCTCGGCATCAAGATGCTGCGATTGCGCAGTATTCTTTGTGGGAGCGCCTAACGGTCCACATTTCGCCTTTGCTCGATCGAATGTTAGTGCCAGGCTAATCGTTACGATGACGCAGACGACGATTCACCATATCCAGAGGTACGCTCTGCTGTCGCGAACACGGACGACCCGGACATGCCCGTCTCCACGCTGCGCGCTTGGGTCATTGGTCTGGTGTGGGCGATAATCCTGCCGGGTATCAACCAGTTCCTCTTCTTCCGATATCCGTCGATTGTAGTCACTGGAGTATGTGCCACTTGCCTATGGCCAAACCAGCCTGCTCACCCCGCCTCAGATCACCGCGCAGCTGCTCTCATACCCACTGGGTAGATTATGGGCCTACATCGTTCCCGGATACCGGATATTTGGTGTCTCATTGAACCCCGGGCCATTTTCGATGAAAGAACACGTCTTGATTACGATAATGGCCAACGTCGGTTACGTTTCTGCATACGCGGTACGTGCTTACTTGCACGGTCTTTGCACCTGTCTGACCCTCGACGCAGACAGATATCGTCGCGGTGCAGCGTGTATTCTATGGCGAGGTGTACAGCTTCGGATATCAGTGGATGCTCGTCACTTCCACGCAACTTGTGAGTACACTGTCGTCGTCAGAAACACTGTTACCTGACATGCCCAGATCGGCTTCTCCATCGGAGGCGTCGCCCGACGGTTCCTCGTCGCGCCCCCGTCCATGATCTGGCCAGCGAACCTCGTCACATGCGCGCTCTTCAACACCCTCCACTCCCAGCAGTACGCCGGTATTGGGAGCCGTGGCGGCATCACGCGCGAGTGGTTCTTCCTTTACTCGTTCGCCGCCTCTTTCCTCTGGTACTTTTTTCCGGGGTACCTCTTCCAAGCGCTCAGCTACTTCAACTGGGTATGCTGGATCGCGCCCAAGAACGTCGTCGTCAACCAGCTGTTCGGATACTACACCGGCCTCGGAATGTCCGCCGTTACCCTGGACTGGTCGCAAATCGCGTACATCGGCTCGCCGCTCGCGACACCGTGGTGGGCGTCCGCGAACGTCGCCGTCGGCTTCGTTCTCTTCTTCTGGCTGCTCTGTCCGATCCTGTACTACACCAACACGTGGTACGCGGCGTTTATCCCGATGTCGACACGCTCGAGCTACGACAACACGGGCGGGACGTATGACGTTACCCGGATCCTCACCCCCGATCACACCCTCGACATAGACAAGTACAAAGCGTACTCGCCCCTCTTCCTCTCCATGACGTTCGCGATGTCTTACGGGCTCTCGTTCGCTGCCATCGCCGCGACCATCGTCCACACCATCGTCTACTTCCGCAAGCAGATCTGGATCCAGAGCCGTCGCTCTCTCTCGGAGCAGCCCGACATTCATGCCCGGCTCATGTCACGGTACCCGCAGGTTCCCGACTGGTGGTACTCTGGAATCTTTGGTACACTCTTTTTCTCCACTCCAGCGACCAAGCACTCACCTACTTCTCTCCCTCCCAGTTTTGATGTTCATCTTCGGTGTCATCGTGATCGAGGTGCAAGAGACGCAGATGCCCGTCTGGGCTCTCGTACTAGCGTTGATGATCTGTGAGCAACCTACGGCATATTTCCGGTCACAGATACTGACACCTTCCTAGCGTTTATTTACACCATCCCGGTCGGCATGATCCAGGCCATTACGAACCAGCAGATCGGACTGAAGTACGCACGGGAGTAACCGCGATCCTACACTATACTAATCCGCTCACAGCGTGATCACCGAGCTCATTGTTGGCTACGCGCTCCCCGGCAAGCCGATCGCGATGATGCTCTTTAAGACATGGGGCTACAACACCATGGCCCAGGCGTTGCAGTTCACGTCCGACTTCAAGTTGGGGCACTACATGAAGATCCCACCGCGCGCGATGTTCTTCTCCCAGGTGGTCGCCGCCGTTGTCGCCGGCACCGTGCAGCTCGGCGTCCAGTCCTGGATGTTCAGCAACATCCCGGACATGTGCCATCCTCGACAGCCGGACGGTTTCATCTGCCCCTCCACCGAAGTCTTCGGGACCGCTTCGATCGTCTGGGGTGTGATCGGACCGCAACGGCAATTCTCGCCGGGGCAGATCTACCATTCGCTCACGTACTTCTTCCTCATCGGCGCCCTCTGCCCTGTCGCGGCGTACACGGCGAGTTTGTGGTGGCCGCACTCCTTCCTGCGCTATGTCAACTTCCCCGTCATCTTCAACGGCACGTCCTACATTCCGCCCGCGTCCGCGGTGAACTACGTGCCCTGGACGATCGTCGGCTTCGTCTTCAACTTCTTCATTCGCCGCCGCCACTTCTCATGGTGGACCAAGTACAACTGTGCGTGTCCGCTTTCTCCTTCTCTTTTCTCTCCTCTCCTCTCCTCTCGTCGCCCCAATATCTCCTCCTTCGCCTCCCTCTTCTCACTTCTCAGGGAGATCTTCATCGCTAACGCCGCACCTCGACAGACATCCTCTCCGCCGGGCTCGATGCTGGCGTCGCGATCTCCATACTCGTCGTCTACTTCTGCCTTCAGTACCCCGCGCACGGCACGCTCGGCACGAGCACCATCGGCTCCTGGTGGGGCAACACCGTCATGACCAATACCGCCGACTACGGGCCCGTAGGGAGCGGCGTCCCGCTCACCGCCGTCGCGCCCGGCGCAACCTTCGGGCCCTCGAGCTGGTAGCGGTCACGCGCGGTCCCGGCGACGTACGGTCATGCGGGGATTGACTCGTTCTTATTTTGTTTCGTCGCATCGCGTCGTGGCCGTAGTTGTTGTACTTGTAGGTGTGCTCCCTCTCTCTCGATTATCGCCTCCATTATTGGGCCTATGCTTCGCTTTGTACGCTCTCGTTATCAATGTCCAGACGCTTGTAACATAATTACCGACCCCCATCCTACCACCACTACCTTATCTCTCCCCGCTGTCCGCTATACCCGGACCGAGGTCCATGGGCTGATACATACGGACTTCGGTCGCTTGTATAGAGGCGCACCCGTTGGTTTTCCCCGGCGCCTCCGACGGCGGACGACACTAGTTGTACCGTTTGTTACATAGCGCAAAAATTAAACTTGAATAAACATCGACAACAAAAACGACGACGACGACCGAATGGCGGCCGCGGCGCGGCACGGGGGACGCCTGGCCGTGGAGATCCTGCAGACTGATCATAACGTCCGTGTTACGAGCACGCTCGACATAGATTGGAAGAGAGAGATAGCACAACATAGGTGACGGAAGGCGGGGTGCGGAGAACATACGGAGAGGTTTCAGAGAGAGCGGAGGGTGCCGGGGGGGCGGACGCCCTCACGGGAGGGTTTGAGTGTCAGAAGAATCGCTGGTGCTGGGTACGGAGTACGGACGAGAGCGTGTGGTAAAGTAAAGTGAAGGGCAGCCGGAGCAGCCTGTGGTATCTTCTGAAAGGAATGCGGTGAATATGTACGATGGTGTAGCAGTAGCAAGCCGCGCCTCGCTTTTCCCGTGAGGCGCGCATCCAAGACAGTGAGACCCGTGAATAGCAGTGAGAAGACGGTAAGCAGAGGCACGGGGTCCTGTGTGTGATGTGTGTGATGACGATGCTGAAGGGAACGTACATGTACGAGTCACGGGAAGGTGCGAGGGGCGGTAGTAGCCGGGGTGTTCACCGGTGCTAAATACGATATGATATTTCAGAGACGACCGACGCGAGCGAGACAAAAGGGGTAGGGCTGGCGAACGTTCAAGGGAGCACGTTCAAGGGAGCGTCTCGGGCGAAGGGCGTGAACGCAAAAGGGCGGAAGGGCGGGCGAGCGAGCGACGAAGCTACTCTTCCTCCTCCTCCTCCAGGACGTTGTGAAGGGGAGCGCCATGAACGTAGCGGGTGGGAAGATCGATCTCAATATCTTCGACGCTCACCTTGTCGTCCGTCGACTCGATCTCCGGGATGTCTACCACGGCAGGGGTGGGGGAGGGATGGGGGGAGGTCTTGCCGTTTGACGCCGTCAGCGACGCCTGCCGGACTGGGAGGCGCGAGGAGGGGATCGGAGAGCTGCTGTTCTGACGCTCACGCTCACGATACATCTCGATGAGCGTCGCGGTCTTGCTCGAACCCTTCGTAGGAGGCTCAGGCGCCTCCGGTTGACCATGGGGGTCAGGGAGGGCGCGGAGGGGCTTGGCTTCTTTGGGAGCGGGCTTGGGCGGCTCAGGAACGACCTTGGGTTCAGGCTCGTAATCAGACGCCGTCGACTGGCGGTAGCTCGACTCGGAGTCGTCCACATTGAGGTGGGCACGTGTTTGCACCGTTCCTGCGGCGTACGGATTCTCCGTGGAGGTGTCGCTCTCGTACGACGGTCTTGATATTTGATCGCGAGGGTCGTCGGTGAGAGTTGGCGGACGACGCTCTGGGTGGAGGTCGAAGTAGCCAACTCGCCTCCGGGGCTTGACCTCCGCGTCGTCGTCCGCGCGACCGTACCGCACTGAGTCAGAGTCTTCGCGCTCGAGCATCGAGTCTTGCAGCGTGTCCGTGTCCCCGTGAGGGTCTGCCACGGGCTCCATCCCCTCGTCTTCGTCGTCCGAGAAGCGTCGTCCACGAACCCCTGCGAGGACCTCGGAAAGCTCCTGGCTGGCGAGCTCAGGGTCAGACCGGCCGCCTTTGAGGGCCGCGTGACGCATCTCCGCATCCTGGCCTCCTATACGCCGGCTGTTCGTCGCGACGAGGATGTCTACCCATGCGTCGTCCTTCGATCGCCGTCGACTGCGCTTGTTGGAACCTTCTTCCTCGAAGCTCGCGATGCGCGTATCGAAGTCGACCTGCTCGTATTCCGTCGGTGTGAGACCGGCGCGTTTCGGTGGTGCGGGGGAGGAGGGGAGACCCGGCAGTCGGAGACGAGATCCTTTCTTGGGCTGCGGCGAGCCGTTCTCATCCTTGGGGGAGACGGGTGAGTCGCTACGGAGGGTATTCATAGCCCTCGACAACGGGCTAGTCACCTTGACGAGAGGAGGTCCGGTATGAGCCTCCTTAACAGGAAGTGGAGGAGTCACGGCTGCGACGCCCGTTGGCTTCTCCCGCTTAAGGGTGATGACCTTGGTCGAACTACCGTTAGAGCGCAACAGGCCCTCGAATTCAGCTTCGCGGTAGCTGGGAGTATGTGGGACTGCGCCGAGAACGTACGGACGGCCGTTGAGAGTGGCGGCGGGCTTCCATTGCTTGGACTTGTTGGTGGAAGAAAAGAGTGAGGGTAGTCTTCGACGCGCGCCGCCGGCCGAGGCGACGAGTTGTTGCCGGTATTCGAAGGGCACAAACTCCTCGAAGAGAATGAGTGTGGTGGCCGTCCGCGGATCCGCAGTCCCTGACACAGTTGTTCGTTGTACCGGAAGAGCCTTGAACTCGACCTTCACAGCGCATATAAGAGGCTTGTGCGCTCAGGTGATGTTGCACGGAACTCACCAATGCCCAATTGCACTCTCTGTCCGTCTCCACCCTCCGCTCGTCGTCCATCCACCCTCCTCCATAGATGAGATCGCAGAACACGTCCACGAACGCCTCCTCGATGACCTCTTCACTCCCAATGACCGGCTCTGTATCCCACCCGAACGCAGGCAACGCCTTCTGCGTCTTCTTGAGCTTGCGGTGCATTTCCGCCTGGTTAACCGGCCAGGATTGTATGGTGTTGGCGACCGGGGCGCTGAATTGAAGGGTGGCGCTGAGGTGGGCGTCCGAGCGCGAAAACCCCGCCGACGAGAAGTCCTGCCAGTTGAGCGTCGCACGCTTCGCGGCTCGGGCCTACCATGGTCGCAAGATGGTTGGGGCTTCAGCACAGACAAGAAAGAAAGAGGGGAAGAGGCGTACCGCGCGTGCACCCTCGGTGAGATCAAACTGCAGCTTCTTCTCGTCCGTCTGCGTCCCGAAACCCATCGCCTCGAACTCTCCCCACTTTAGGTCGGTCAAACTCCGGAACCGCTCCTCGCCTTCTTTGTCGTCGAACAGTGTCGACGTGACGGAGGAAGCGGATGAGACTGACGACGACAGGGAAGGGGGCAATGACCCAGAAGAGGCCGCTGCGCCGGTGTCTGGATGGAAGTTGGACCCGAGAACCATGCGCTTCTTGTACGAGTCCGAGTATCGTGGGGGCAGCTTGAGGGTCGGGGGAGAAATGCGGTCCCACTCTCGTGAGCCAGCGAAAGCCATCTCGCCTGCACTGGAAGTCGCGTTCTTCGGCCGGTACGCCCATGATGCGGTGGTCTTGACGAGGTCGGGGGAATACATTCGCACGTTACGACGCACGCTCATGACGCGGACCGTGCGTGCGCCGCGCCGTGGTTCTGGACGCTCGTTCTTGCCGATTAGGGGAAGCATTGAAGGATAGCCCTGGATCCAGGCCTTGAGGCGAGTGGGTACGCTCCCAGGACTCGACGAGCTGGCTTTGGCGTCCTGCCAGCGAATGAATGCAAGGATAAGATGTTCGGTCGCTATTGCGGCGCGGAGATAGTGAAGATATGCATGGTGGAAGTTGAGCGTAGACGGTCCCAGCCCGAACAGTAATGGCCCAAATAGTGGAGACAAGGTCGGAGGGGTGTGTCCCGATGACGCCGAGTGGGCGATGAAACGGCTGAGCAGTGTAAAAAGGCCGACCAAGAGAAATTGCAGTTGAGGCTCGAGACGGTCCAAGAATGCTGAGAAGTGCATGCCAGGGTAGTTCATGGCTGTAACGAGGACTGATCAGTTCCGCTGAACATATACCAGCGACCCCACTTCCACCAAGCAAGCAAGACATTTTTCATCCCCTTATGCTTCCGCCGACTAGACGCGAGAATATCCTAATACTGCACGGGGTATCTAGACCCCAACAGCACCACCCAGCCTAATCCTGTGCGCATATAGTGGGTGCAAATGGTCCAAGCACTTCCGCAATCCACAATCCCCGAGCTATGCGCATTGTCGCATGACAAACAGGCAAGGAAGAGAGCGAAAGCTCTCCCATCGTGCCTGGCTGGTGATGGAAGCTGGCGATGACCGGCTCTCCCACAGCCGCAGCGGTCCCCAGTGGCTTGGGCATAGCGAGAACCACCCATGCCCCGGAAAATTGCCACGAATTACAACCTCCGTCTCGCACCAACATCCAGCACCAACAGTGCACTGGGCGGCACACGCAGGAGGTGAAACTCTGCGGCGCGTTTCCAAGCCCACGTCGCCCCGGAGCCAACGCACAGAGCAACGCATGCACTCACCGGCTTCGGAATCTCGCCACTGGAGATACATGTCGTACGAGACGAGCCCACGCACTTCCTGCCCGTTCGTCCACCGCACGACTCGCGCTAGGCCCCATCGGAGGGTCATTCCGAGTTCGGGCGGGCCCGCCAAACGCGCCTCCTCCCGCCACTGCCTCTCCGCCTCTCCCGACGGCTTGCTGCACGTCTTGAGGAAGACTTGAACCAGCCTCTTCACGGACGTCGCGGAGACGTCGAGGGCGAGGGACGAGAAGATGAAGGGGACGGTGAGCCCGCGGGTGCCCAGCTCCTCCCCGACGACGTCGACCAGCCGGGCGATCTCCTCGAGCCCGAGCACGACGTGCCGCTCGAACGAGAGGTAGCCATAGTCGTGCGTGGGGGCGGCGAAGGGGGAGTCGTCGTCGGTCTCGTAGCGCGGCCGATCGAGCACGAGCGGGAGGAAGCTGCCGTCCGGGGGGCCGTAGTCGACCGTCGGGTCGTCGTCGGGCGGGCGTACGCCGGGGCGGGGCGTGGTCCGCCCGCCACCGCCGTCCTTTTTCGAGCCTTTGCGGTTGGCGGTGAGGCTCTGGTCGGGGCGGCCGGACCCGCGGCTGGGGATGCGCCCGAATTCGTCGTGCGCGCCCGCGCCGAGGTCGAAGGCCGTCTTCTTGTTCGGGGTCGAGGTGGTCCGCGCGCGCGAGAAGATGCTCGGCATGAAAGGAAGGAGGGGGGAGGAGGAGGGGCTCGAGCTCGTCGAGGTTGTGGTGGTGGGAGGCAATTGATGAGTTAGGCGACCCACGCGGCGGCGGGGATTCTGGGCCTCGCCCCGTCGTCAACGCCGCAAACGCCCGCCTTCCGTCCTCCGTCCCGCTCCCGCACAAAGACAGTGGCCACCTTTGCCCCGTCGAGTTCCGTGCCATCCTCACGTCCGCACGCGACCCCTCGTACGCCTTCAATGCCTACCTTGACACACAGCATGAATGGAGTCGTAAGATCTCAGACGATTCTCGTGACTACGTAGTGGCAGATATTATGATACAGTAAGATCGCTTCCATCCTCCAATACAAGCACATAGTCTCTGGTCGTGAACAATGAGCCGTTACGCTACCCCCGCTTCTGGTCCGTTGCAGGGGGAGGGCCGGCAGGCGCTTCGTACTGGGGAAGATGTCCCGGCGGTGGGCCAGCCGGCGGAGCGTAGTTGTGCAGGTCTCCAGGCGGCGGACCCACTGGGGGGCTGTACTGCGCATAGTAGGAACTCGGGGGCGACTGCGATGATTTCGGACACACGGTGTAAGTGGGCATGGGGTACTGCGGCGCATAGCCATCGTTCGGTGCGGGTCCCCCTTGGTAGGGATAGTACCCTGGCGCGCCTGTGGGGTAGCCTGCTGGGGGCACTGCGCCAGACACCGCCGAAGTGTTCACATAAGCGAGGTTACGGCGGCGCGAAGCCCTTGCTCGCATGAGGCGGAATGCGATCAGAAACACAACCAAGGCAACGACTACGATTGAAGCAGTCAGGCGAGGGGGGCTCGAAAGGGAAGTAGGGTACGTACTTCCGGCGACAGCGAGCCCAATGCGGACTCCCGTGGACAACGTACAATGCTCTACTCCGAATCTAGAACAAGCATGGGTATGTCAGTCTCATACGAAGCCACATGAGACCAGTGGGAGCAAACGGGATAATCTGCAAACACACATCCGCATTCATCTCAACTTCAACGCGTTATACGCACATGCCCCTTATATCCCCACGTGTTTGGATGCCCCTCCCCACCAGGTAGCACGAACACAATACCAGGCTCGGGGAAACACTCACCGATCGAAGTAACAGTACGCATGTGCTCCTGGGAGTGACGAGAAGGCGAGGATCGCCGCAAAAACAGCCGTGTATCCTCCAAATTGGACGCCTGCGCCGTACCGCGATCAGTGACGTCGTTCTCGCCGGTGCAGAGAATGAGAACGCACTCATGGGCACGTGCAGAAAAGCTGAGTAGATGTGCTGGTGAGGAGGGGGAGGAGGGTCGATAGGGTGGTGGTAGTACGAGGACAGGGTGCGTAATGCTGAGCGCAGCCTGAGCACGCGGATTATGTTCTCGGCGTTCAAGTCTCGGCGACTTCGGTGGACACAGCCCGCTTCCAAACGCGGACGATCATTCCGGGTATGTAATATTCTGGCGTGGGAACCGCCACTGCCCTTCCCGCATTTCTCCGAGCAGGCTTGGCACGCAGCGCTTAGCTTTGATTTGCTCGCTTACATACCACTCGTTGAACCACTCCAGTCGTTGAACGGTAAGTGAATTAATGGCGGGTCAAGACTGTTCTTATGCTATGCGTAGTTGAAGTTGACCTTTGTTGTTTTTATACACATGCCACTGCCGCTTTTTCCCTGTGACCCCCGGACGCGAGCTTCAATTCAGTGCTGGCAATTTGCGCGGCGTTTCAGTCCGAGCTTGTCTCTGCTTTGCCCGCCCTTTTGAGGTGCGTGCGGCTTGACCTACACGCTGTCCTCCAGCGCGCCTCTGATGGGTACGGGCCAGCGCTCATACTATTTGCAGAGGGCCGAGTTCCGAGAAGGTAGCCGGAGACAAATGGCGAAAATAGCGCAACACCCCAGAGGCCACCCCCGTTCCTGCCTCGGCCCTGCTCTCCTCTTGAGAAGACCACTGGCTAAATCTAGGGTCCGGTCGAATAGAGTTGAGGTTGAAGGTGAGCCTGCGCGATGGACCGATGGCGCAGCTGAGTTCTGTGCCGTTGACCTGTGCGGCGATCAAGGCAGGTTCACCACGAAGAACATTCAGTAGAGGTCACCATAGTTAAGCTTTTCTGTTCACCTCGTTCTGGTAGTCGATATGGACGGATGCAATCGTTTTTTACTGCCTAGGTCTACATATCTTTCCTTCCAGCCGCATCCAAAATATGCGCTGTCGACCGATATCGACTCCCATGATCACCACGGTGTCGCACTGCATGTACACGTACATGTAAGTCTTCTCGACTTCTCACTCAAAAGTATTGGCTAAACCCCGCACTAGGACGCAAGGTCACCCGTTGCCAGCTTTCTCAACTCCCATGTAGGGATACTGCTAGGATGCGGTATCCGAAGCCGTCCCGTAATCTTGAGCTTGAGGCTCGGTGGTTGCAAGTCGCCGACTCCATCGACATGTTCAAACTCCGCTATATCCAAGCCATTCGACTTCCATCGAACGATCTACTCGTACGAGCACCGCCCGTGACCAAGTACCCTGTTTCCAAAGCGCGGCCAACACGGTGCAGGACGAGGTACGTTCGTTCAAACCTCCGTGTACGACGCCCACAGCATTCGGCCACCGCAGCGGACAAGGATCGAGGCGAAGTCCCGAGGCTAAATCCGCGAGGGACCCATAGCGATTGTTCACCGTCGCGCCATCGTCGTCCGTGCGTTGGTTCTCATGTCCTGTCTTATCGATCGGCCTCGCGGGCGCGTGCCGCGCACAGAAGCTCCTCCGTGACGCTCTGCGTGCACGCGCGCACTAGGGGGCGATGAACCGCGAGAAACAGCGAGCGCCCTACAAAGCGTCCGTCTGCGCGTTCGAGAAAGACGTGTGGGCGCGAGCGCGGCCCTTGCAAGGATGCCGTGGGGCCCTGGAGCGCGAGCAGACACCGCCGTCTGCTCCCGCTGCCGGTGACGTTGTCGTGGGCTCCGACCAGCGCAGCGGCGACTGCGTTTCCCCATCCTTACCTCGCGTCCCCACTGCTAACTGAGGACATGCGCACTGGGCGGGTAGTGCTGGGCGTTCGGGTCGTACATCCGAGCTCCCCGCACTGCTTGTTACATGGTGCTGGTGCCGAGGTGCCGATGCCGTAGGCTCCATCTCTCCGCCACAGACGAACGGTGCGTCGTTCGGGCGAGCGAAGCCTTCGTCCGCCCGAGTGCCCAGAGCCTCACCTTCTTGTACACACAGACTTGGCCTGGGCCCGGTGCTCGTGCCGTACACACGCGTCGTTCCGATCGACCGCCGAGTACTGATCGGAGGTATCAGACTAACAGGCTCGCCCAAGTTCCCGGTCGTCGTGAGTGGTGGGCGCTGCGCTCGGCGTTCACGCGCGATAACCAACGGCGATTCACAGGACTGAACACAGAAGCGCAGTTCAATATATAGACTCGGTCACCAAGATACGGCCCCCTCAAGTGCGCACGAAGTACGTCGTTGATCCGCACGCGCTTCGATCGCAGACTCGCCACAGCGCGCGTGCGGCGATGGTTGCACGAGATTAGAATGCTGCAAGCTCGAGACCAGCTGAGTATCATCCCCGCGGCCGCCTCGCCGCCTCACCAGGCCAGGGCGGCCCGGGCCTAGGCCATCGTGCGCACCCAGCTGAGCAGCATACTATGTAAACCGGTGAGCACGCACGCCACCACCCGCCCTGCTGCGGACGACGTTCTCTGATGCTCGCACGTTCGACCGAAGAAATCCACCGCCTCCTTCCTCCCCCCGATCGCCGTATCGTGGTGCGCGTGGGCGCCCGAATCGCCTCCGTGACGACAACGCGAACCTGGAACTCAAAGCGTAAGTACGCGCGCGCACGACGCGAGTCTACCACAGCGCAGGACCGACTCCAGAGGCAGCACGCCGCCTCACCTGGCCTCCGCCCGCGCGTGCATCACGGCGATCGGGCGCGGCGCGCCTCCGGGGCCGTCAGGCCCGCGACGGTGGCGACGAGTGCACTCAGCGCTGAGCACGCGCCGGGAGACTGCGCACCAACACGTGGGTGGGCGATCTACCAGGAATCAGGATCTACCCCGACGTCGCGCGCGCGCCCCCACGCGGGGCCTGGAGCGAGATCTGGTGAAGAGAAGTCACCCCCGTTCCGGAGCGGCGACAATACCGTCGCGCGCGCGGGAGCTCGAGTTCGAAGGCCGGCGGGCAAATTGCGTGCGCGCGCGGGCCCGATGGCACCTGCTCGCGCGAACTTATGTACTTATATCGACCGTCTGCGCCGGCCACTGCCTACAAATACACTCCGTCTGCCACACCCCGTCGCCCACATACCCACCGCGCACACTCGCACTCGCGCCTTCCCGCACTCTAAATATCGAGCCTCCGCTCTGAGCGCCCACGAGCCTCCGTCGCAAGTCACGTGCCGGTATGTTCGTCCGGGCGCCTGCACTCGCTTGAGCTGAGTCGCATCTGTCCTCCTCCCCCCACTGACCTTGTCTACCCCCCGTCTGTCTGTCACATCATGACCTCCTTCCTCCGCCGTTTTATGAGCACAGCGTCTGCTGCTGCAAAACCCATGTACGTCCTTTTCGCGCGCGCACCCTGACACGTCACATACTCATATGCCGCATTGCGCCCCAGGTCGAAAGTCTTCGTACGTACGCGTCACGCAGGAGTATGGAGAACAGGGAGCTCACCCAGAGTTGGAATACGCGCAGTTTGATATCACGATCGACTCGAAGCCTGCCGGTCGCATTGTCTTCAAGCTGTACGATGACGTCGTGCCCGAGACCGCGCGGAACTTCCGCGAGCTCGCGACCGGCCAGCACGGCTTCGGCTACCAGGGCAGCGGCTTCCATCGCATCATCCCAAACGTACGTCCCCCATTCCCCGTGTGCGCCCGCGGCTTCGACGGGATGCTGAGCCGTTTGGCGGCGCAGTTCATGCTCCAGGGTGGCGACTTCACAAGACACAACGGCACGGGCGGCAAGTCGATTTATGGTGCAAAATTCTCTGGTACGCAACAGCCGCGTACAGCCTGCGCCGCTCCCGTGTGCTGACCCAGCTCCTGCGCCGGGCAGATGAAAACTTCGACCTCAAGCATACCAAGCCCGGTCTCCTGTCCATGGCGAACGCTGGCCCTGACACCAACGGCTCACAGGTGAGCGTTTGTGCCCGTTACATCTCCCAGTCGTTCCAGATGCCTCTCTCGCGCCTCACCGCCCATCCTTCGCTCCTGTCTCTCCGCTCGTCTTGCTCGTCTCGTGCGTGGAACGAATGCTCATCCTTACGTCTAGTTCTTCATCACGACTGTGGTGACGTCATGGCTCGACGGCCGGCACGTTGTGTTCGGCGAAGTCGTCGACGGTATGGATGTCGTCAAACAAGTTGAGGCTGCGGGCAGCGAGTCCGGTCGGCCGAAAACTCGCGTCGTCGTCGCCTCCTCCGGCACCGTCGACGAGTAGATGCCGTGACTCCGCGCACCCCAGGGAGGGCGCCGGACGTGCGGTGTGTACCGTCGCGGTCTCGGCCCTCGCGGCGTGGCAAAAGGTTGTTAGGATGTTGGATATCAGCACATGCTTTCCCCCGTCCCGGACCACATGCGTACATGCGTCCCCGTACTTTTCATCTATTATCTTGCCATTACTTAATACAGCTCTGTTTGCTCTTGCTCTCGCCTCTCATTTCGTTCCCCCTAGCCTTACACCTGCCCAATCTTCGTGCGCTTCCAGTCTGACCCTTGGACTCCGCCCGGTTGCCTCACGAGGAGGTCGTCCGTGCGGGTACAACGCCAGGTGAGGGCGCCCAGAGTAAAAATTGAAAGGATGCGCTCATCGCGATAAGAGTTTCTTATCCGAGCAGGAATATAGACGGCCTCGACACACAGTGCGCCAGTGGCTGGTGGAGTTCAAGCGCGCGGGGACGCGGTGAGCAGCTGTTCGTGCGAGACCTGGCGAAGCGCAACTCACGCGACCTCTCGATCGGCCTCAGGGTCAGGCAGACGGCTGCTTTCAAGCGCGCCATCGACGGATGGAGCGAGCGGCGACTTGGATCCAGGCGAACACCAGAAATGCGCGTGCGCGTGAACATCCTGGAGCTGGACGTAATGTCGCAGACGAGACACGTCTGACTTGCTGTGGAGGCCGCACGCTTCAAGCTCGAGTGCGTCGCGACGCAGAAGTGAGAACCCGCTCTATATGCCGCCGTGCTTCGACGCATGGAAACACATATCCACACGCATATGTGCATGCATCCAGTCTATCGACGAGGCCTTGTGCGTCATGAAACCACTCAGAGCCGAGTAGAAGGTTTTGTCGAAAGCTCTCAATCTGGCGCAATACTAAGGCCAAAGCCTAAGGGACGCCTGTCTCGGCCAGTCCGCTCGTAACTGACCTTTCCTTCTATCCGACAGCGTCAGAAAATGTCACAGGGTCCCAGCTTTCAAATTTTCAAGTGCAACGACTACAAATACACCGCGGCTATACAATGAACTTTGTTTCCCAGAATCGAACTCAGTTTTCGATCGTCCAGACAGACGTTAACCTTCTGTCAACGGGCCTTCAAGCCCCAGGACGTCTCCACCTCCTTTCCACCCACCTTGCCTCTTGACCACACCCCTCACAGATGCCAACCTCTTACGCTGTTATTGGTGCCTCCCGCGGGATCGGTCTGGAGTTCGTCCGTCAGCTGGTGGGTGCCCCGCGTCCTTATGAGCACGAGGTGCAGCGCTCACTTCGAGAAAACAGGCCGCGCATCCCGATGCCACGGTATACGCCGTTGTGCGCAACCCGTCCTCGTCGACCTTCCTCAGCGATGCCGTCAAGGGACTGAATAACGTGCACATCGTCCAAGGCGACGTTGCGAGCCCGTCCTCGATGAAGGTCAGCGTCTGGCTTTCCTGGGCCGTTCGTTGTGTCTGCTGCTCATCATTCACATGCGACAGGCCGCCGCAGACGCCGTCGGCGCGCTCTCCGGGGGGAAGCTGGATTGCCTCATCCACAACGCCGCGAAGCTGGACGTTCCCTCCGTGATCAAGGGCTTCGACGACTTGTAAGCGCACCTGTTCTTGCCCGTGGCTCGATGCTGACGCAATGCCCCGCGCAGCAAGGACTTAGACGAGATGGACGACGCGCTGATCGAGATGGTCAGTCCTGCCGCACCACTCCAAGTGCGACCCCAGCTGACCCACCCGTTCTCTCGTCGCAGTTCAAGATCAACGCGCTCGGCCCGATCCACAGCATCTCCACCTTCCTCCCCCTCCTCCGCGCCGGCCCTACCAAGAAGGTCGTCGTGATCGGCACTGAGGGCGGCTTCCCCGACGTCATCCGCCTCCTCGCGCTCGACAACATGGTCGGCTACGGCATGAGCAAGGCCGCGGCGCACACCGCGACCGCCAAGTGGGCGGCCAAGCTCGCCCCGGAGCGCTTCGTCGTCGCCACCGTCTCCCCGGGCACGGTGGACACCACCGCGACCATGCCGCCTGGCGACCTCGACCCCGCGCTCCTCGCCGCGATGGGCGCGCAGATCGCGGCGTGGAGGGCGAAGGGGGTGCCCGTCGTCGTGCAGACGGCGGAGGCGGCGGTGGGCAAGATGTTGAAGGCGGTGGAGGGGCTGACCCCGGAGCAGAACGGGGCGTTCTTGTCGCCCACGAGCGGGGTTCCATAGGCGTGTGGCGAAAGTCGCGTTTGTTGTATGTGGTGTGCGAATAGGAGTGCTGAGCGTCGCCAAGCTACGTTCGAATGGGATTTGTGAATCTCATCACGCGATGCTTGGCCGTCGATCCCGCACCGAGAGTTGGAAATCTGGATGCAGAACGACTTTTCCAGCCGGCTTATGGTGATGGCGAGCGGTCGTGCGGCATGTCCATACATCATCCAAATGGGTGTATCATTGTCCTATGAAGCTGCCGGCCGGCATCCCGACGTAAGACGTATCTAATTGTACAAATTCATCAAGGAATCAAGATTCCACATGACTGCGATCTACGGGTCAAAAGCAGAAGCCATGGGGTCACTGGTACGGCGGAAAACCACATCTCCTGCCCGGTTCGAGATTCCGACCATCACCCCGTCTGCGGAAATCGCGAGCCGGTTTATACTGCGACCGTCTGGCCACCAGAAGGCGGTCTTTGTGGTGCCTTCTTCGATGTTCCAGATCCAGCAGATAGAGACGTCGTTTTCTTTGGCCACATATACTGCCGTCCGTCCATCTGCAGACCACTCCATGCCATAGATATCCACAGCATGATCGAGACGAAAAAGCGTGGACCCGGTCATCGTGTCCACCACCGACAGTGTCTGAGGGTCCGGCCGCACCAAGAGACGAGCACCGTCGGCGGTGAACTTGGGTGACCAACGGCGGCCGAATGACAGGTCTGATTCGTCGATTGGCGGAAACACTGCTGGCGTGACGATGGGGGTATCCTCGACCGTTGGTGCGACCTTCGATTTGCGCAGAGTTCCATCCTGGCATGCCGAGATGACATGCAACTGATCTTCTCCTCGTGTTCCGCTCCACAATTTACTGCTGAGAATAGGGTTCTGGCTGTCGGTCGACTTGTAATGGCAGGTCCCGGTGCTCGGATCCCATAAAAAGATGTAGTTCTTCGCCTGGCCTTCATGAGGAATTAATCGTAGAGTTGAAAGAATACGATGACCGACTGCAGAGAAACAATAAGACCGATCGAAGTGGCCCTTCAAGCGCTGAATTTCGTCCAGTTCGGAAGATTGTACGAGGAGCGAGCGGAGATGCGCGAAGCTTGAAGCATCCCAGACATGCACCTGAGCCAGGGCGTCTTGAACAAATATTTGTATGCCGTCCAGAGACCAGAGAACCCCGACAAAAGGCGCGTTTCTCACATCCAGTGTAAGGCGCCCGATTCCCTGCGGGATCTTGCTAGATGTTGTAGAGCTAGTCGCCAGGGGGAGAGCGTACATGTGGATGGTTCTGGAGGAGACATACGCGATCTGCAACTCGTCGGGAGACAACGCAAAGTGATGGGGCTCGTCTTCGTGTGTGTGTTCTTCGTACCACTCGGTGAGTACTGGGATGCCTGGCGCAGTATCCCAAATCGTGAGCGCCGTTACGGCTGGGTCGGCACCCCAATTCGTGATACTTGCTGCCCAGTTTCCACGTGAACTGAAGACGAGGCAATTGGGACAGTGCGCAGATCCGTAAGGCGTGAAACGCCTTTCTGAGATAGACACTGTGATTATGGCAGTCAGTGCTTGCCGTTTACTCTATCATAACAAGAGAAATACCCGTATTTTCCAGTGGTAGGATATGCAGCAGGCTTTTATGATGCAGAGTTTTGAAACATCGTGAGAACAGAGTCTCCCATTTTGCGAGGTGATTCCGCGGAAGGTTGTGAACTAGACACACGAGACCGGCGGAGCGGAGACGATTATGACGAGCCACAACCTGAGAGAATTCTTCAATCTCTCTCTCTCCTGTCTTGCTGGGGTCTTCACACTCCCAGTATACCATCTCGGAGTGAAACACTAGACGGAGTGTGCGTAGCAAGCCTGGGAGCTTCATGAAAGCACGCAATACCGTATAGTCCAATAATTGGCTCCAGATGAGCATCGCCGGGAGTGTCATCCAAACGGAGAGCGACTCAAGATTGTGACACAGCGTGAGGTCTAAGTCTAGGCGGATCCGTTTCTGAGTTAGCTGCATTTACTTGGAAAGTGTCATGCTCTCATACCCGCAAGGTAAGAGCCGTCCAATTCGATGACCACAAGCGTCACAGCGTTCTTGACAAACAGCGTGCTTGCCGCGGTAGGATGGATTTCCGATAACGGAGCAAACTAGTATAAATGGGTTGCTATCAGCTTGATTCCAACGATGTGGATTCATTAGGTGTTACCTTCAACCACCGAAGCCTCTGCAAGCCCTTGCATTTGCGTCGTGCAAACAGAAGCGACGGATTTGACGAAATACAAGCATGCTCAATGTCTTCTAGGGTGATTTCTTCCAGGGCAGGAAAAGCGTTCAGGAGGGGGTAGAAGTGGAAAAGGTTCTTGAAATATACACAGCAGATGATTACCCGCTTCACATCCCGATACTGGCTCAGGGCAACCAACGTCGCTCGCCGGAGCGGAAAAGGTGTCTCTCTAGTTTTGTATCCGAGAAACTCCCAAGCCCGAATGTGGATGAGGTATGGGAGTAGGACGATCGGGGCAGTGACAGGGAACGGATGCCGGCCTTCCACATCCTTCACTGAGCGATCGGGCTTCAGCCGGACCACTTCTACCAGGGATTGAAGAGTGGGGTTCCGGTCAAACGTGGCACAGATGACGGGGAGTTGTTTCCTGCTCGACACCGTGAGCGTGCGCCAGAGATGGATGCGAGTCCGGGGAATCCAGTCCTTGTTTACTCGGATGCAACGAACGAGGGCCGTGGTATCTTCGGCCGCACCGAGTTCATCGATCATGTGCTCAATGACCTCGATGGGGACACGGGGAAATGACATGACAGGATGACAGAGGAGAAAGGACGATGGTGCGCCGTGAGGGCAGTTTCTCGTTGGAGGCTTGCGGGACGAGGCGAGAGAGCAGACCCAAGGAGAGCGCGAACCTAATCGCCTCGCCGTGGGGAATTCCGCCTGCGGTGATGGATGCCGCGCGCTCAACTCGGGGATAGACATTGTTTCCATTGGGAAGCCGAGACTACAACAGTACTCCCCGCCCTCCGAACAGGCTACCTAACGCATCGGGCCACTTCGGAGGACTCACGGGGATGTGTGTGCAGATATGTCGAGGCAGCACACTATGTCCTAAAGTCGGTGGTCGACGACATGAGGAGGTTGACATCGAGAGAGATACAAGAATTGCGCACCTTAGCCGCTCCACCCAGTGGTCCACATGCGCTACATACATATTTCACCATCCGTAAGGCGCGCTGATTAGTTGCTCTTGATACCCGGAATTAAGGTAATTGTGTCGACTTTCGAGATGGCCGCAACTCGTGAGTGGACGCCACGCAGGAAGGTGAAAGAGGTATGGGGAGAACAGCGGGGTGATGAACCAGAGTCGACGTTGAGAGAGAGAGAGCAGCGCGGGAATCGCCCACAGTGACGCTCGAGCGTACGCCTCAGCGAGTCTTCCTGCACAACTGTCTTCATGCGGAACCCTCACGTACATGCAATGATCCCTATCTTCTCAATAGCTTCGCGATGGTAGCGAAAGGCAACAGGGATAAACCCTCTGGGACACCGGTCCGTTTCCAGACGTCCCCGATGACGGCATGTACACATACTTCAAGCCCTCAGTCACTGGTCTATGCTTTCATCTGTGACCGCCTTCCATCGTCCTGGATGGCATCTCTCAGCTCTGTACGAAGCCGTCATGATTCGTGACGACAAATTTAGCAGGCAAGTACATCACGCTTCGCTCGCGCTCCTACCGCGGAATGGTGTCCGCACTCACACGCAGGAGCCGCCCCACAGGTCACGGCCAGACCAAAGATGGGTCTAATGCAGCCGGTACCTTCGTGCCGTTGGCTTCGTAGCTCTCACCACGCCACCTGAGCTCGTCTGACCCTGCGCTGAGTAGACCTTCTCTTGATATATGCAGCGCTTGCTCCAATGTGGACAGTCGTCATCTCCCGTCGTGGCAGCGCTCCGCACCACAGCATTCCCAAGTCCACGGCAAGGTTTTCGCGTATTCGTTATTTGTATGGGGGGCAGAGTGCTTCAGAAGTACGGTCTGACTCTTTCTCAGTTCCCCCCACCTCTCCAGTGTGCCTCACTCCGGACTCATGAACTCCTCAACACCAGCCATGCAGGCCATCGCGAAGCTGACCAATGGGTACGTGTCCCGCTCTGTCCTCAAACTGTTTCTCACTTAAGCCGGCTTTACAGGGTCATCGACAACTACTGTGTAGTAGCGTCTGATGGTGATTCATCTTCCTCTCGATGACGCCCCCGCTGCACTCAACCTGACCCCCTACCAGCGATCGTCGTGGCCGAGTTTTTCCTCCTCCTCGAAGAAGAGGTCCGGTACTTCTGGTCGACGCGGCTCACCGGTGCCACCCTGCTCTTCTTCGCCAGCCGGTACATCTCCCTCGTCTACGCCCTCTACACGTTCGTCGACAAATTTGTTCCGACTACAGCAAAGGTGCGCGAATTTCCAGGCCGCCCTAGCAGCACTCGATCGTTAAGTGCGGTCGCTGGCCTTGCTTCCGCTCCAGAGGTGCGCGTAGCGGGTCGGTTGTACTACTACAGCAGGCTCACGGCGACACGTAGCTGTATCGTGGTTCCGGAAGCTGCGGACGCACTCGACTTCTCGCGATACGCCGTCTGGGCCGGTGAGTCTGGGCCCGCCTGCCCCTGCATTTACCTGTGGCTTACCGACCACTCGCGATCACAGCATTCTCTTCTCTGCGCACCCTTGCGCTGCTGAAGTTGCGTCTCGGACAGCGTGAATGGTCGGGGCGGGCGATCGCGCTGCTGGTGTTCCTCCTCTCCATGGTCCCTTGCGGCATCAGCTTCGTCAGTCGCTTCCGCTCTTCCTTTGATTAAAGTCCACTTCAAGCTGACATCATATACTCCGATCGGGCCCCAGTCTGGCTACGCATTCACGAAGCCGGCCGAGGTTGCGCCTGGAGTGTGCGCCGACGCGATCACTTGGAGCGCTGAGCTGTCCATGAAGTGCGTCGAACCGGCGTTTTCATCGTGCTATCCGTGCATTGACGGCTTTCCTCGCGCAGCTGTAAGGGCGGAGAACGTGCCTTTCATGGGGATGTACCACTGATGTTCATAATCACCTACAGTGGCGATCGCAAGTCGGACGTGTCTCATCGCGGCGGACCTCCTTGTCGTCTACATGACCTGGTACACGCTCGTGTGGAGCGACGCCGCGCGGGGCCGCATGAAGAGCAGAAGGCTGACGTTTTCCGGCGTCCTCGTTACCGACGGTGAGGCGCATCTTCAAGCTTCGTATACGGCTGACTGAACCGGCTTTTGTTTAGGGGTGCTCTGCTTCCTGTGGGTGCTTCAGCACGTCCCGCATCGTCCCGTCAGCTATCTCACGTCGTGGTCACGCAGCGCGCTGTGCGTCATGAACATCCTGCACGTAGCGTTGACCGTGTCCGCGGTAAGCGTCCCCCTGACCATGTCGCGCTTTCCTTTCTCAATCACTGCGACACGCGCAGATCACCGACCCCTCCAGCGGGCATAGTTACGTGACGGTGTTCACGCAGCCGTACGTGTCACTTTTCTGCCTTCGCACATGGGCAGACTCCCCGTGTGCTGACAGCCTTCCCGTCTCTTGCCTACAGCATCACGTCTATCCTCGTCTCGCGTTTTCTGCTCCACCTCCAGCGCGCGAACGTCGAAGCGGAGCAGGACAGAGGGTCTTCAGAGTTGGACACCGGCGGCGCCCAAATCTCCACAGTGCGCTTCGAGCGTGCTATGGGCTCGATAGGTTACGTGCCCGGAGGCGGGGCGGGCGGCGGAGAGCATGAGCTTGACGGGCACAGAGGCGACGAGGAACGGTTCGACCATAGGTGAGGCCGAACGGATCCATCTGCGCTGTAGCCTGTGTGTATGTATGTACGATACCGCTAGCTTTCTCTCGATTAGTTTGGGGTCGTTCACGTAGTGGACTTGTTCGTCAGCAACGATAGATGATTCTCGTCTCAGATCGTCTACACAGGTCTACACGTTGACCTCCAAGCAATAATTGAGATCGCCAACACGGTAATGAGGGAGACGACGACGACGATGATTGGTGAGGATGGTAAACAGAGAGAAATGGGATTGCAAAGGGCGGTGCGTGAGTACTCGACGCGAACTTCGCTTTCTCCTGGGGGACCTCCAAATCCCAGGCCCCCCTCCCTCGCCATCGCCCGAATATCCACCCAGAGCCGACCATGTACTTTACCTGCTAAACGTGCGTCGTTACCGGCCCAAACGATCTTACCCGGCTCGAGGACGTCGTCGGGGACAAAGAAAGAATAGTTGAGCTCACTATCCACACCGTCCCTATCTCCTCTTGCCCTCATTATCCCGGGAAGAGGTTCTGCGTCATTTCAACAATGGCGCACGGATGGGCTCTGCGCCGGAGAGTGAGCATCGTTTTTGTTAAGGCCACAAAGTTCGATGTCGTTTGAGGCCTGAGGAGTGAGGCACGGGGGTCGGGTTGGGTTCGAAGGCGCATACAGGGACAAGCCAAGAACAGAAGGTGTTGTAGTAGGAATGTGAGTTTTTCAAGCAAAGGAAAAGCCGTGCCTTGTGTCGAAGATGTCGATGAAGGACTGGTTGACAGTCGGGAGGATCAGAGTCGAGAGCAAACAGCTACGGGCTACGGAACGGCGACGGGCACTCGGAGTACCGGGCCGGTGGACGGCTTTCGCATGAATCTGCCAGACTCTGACCAGATCGAAAATTCAAATTCGCTATAGCCTTTCGTCTCACTCTCCCAAGCTCGTCCAATCGGTAACTTTGTTCATCTGGCCGTTCCTCGTTCTTTTTCAAGCACATCCCGGCATGTTGTCAAGTCTTCTAGCGCATTTGCCACGTTGTAGACTTCCTGCTCGCGACTAACTTCTAAAAGGACTTCCTTTGAAAATCCTGTCCGCTTTCCCCCCTCACGCCGCTCGGCGCGCATGGCCCATTCTTCAGAAGCGGTTCGGCTTGTCGCGAAGCTCCTCTATGGGTGCGTCGTCTTCTCCTTCACTGAAAGCCTGTCTAACACGTGTCAGTCCCTAGGGTCATAAACAGCTACTGCGTAGTGGCCGCAAGCGGTGACTAACACTCAATTTAAGCAGCATTGGCAAGCTTCTGATGCAATACGCGCCCTTCCAGCCCTCGTCATCTATGAACACTTCCTTCTCCTCCCACAAGAGGTCGCCTACTTCTGGTGGACGCCACTTACCGGGGCCACTGCGCTCTTCTTCGCCAGCCGCTACATCACCCTCGTCCACGCCTTCTACACTCTGGTCACGCGTTTTACGCCCAGCACAACCGCAGTACGTACTCGATGCTTTTGATTGGGTGCGCCGGTTCCCCCCGCCCTGAGCCAATCACTGATTCGATTTCGTTCGCAGAGGTACGCCGTACACGTGGCTCCGCTACTCCCGCCTAGTTGTGGATGTAACTTGATCTGACGCACGATTCCACCAGCTGTCTCGCCGTCCCTGAGACCGGCAATGCCCTCGACTATCTGAGGTACTTCATATGGGCAGGTGAGCTTGGCTGCGTCGCTCCGAAATGCGCTCGCCGCTGACCGCGGCTTGGCGTGACAGCATTCTCGTCGCTGCGCGCACTCGCGCTCATGCGCCTCAGACCCTCGTACAACCTGTGGATGGGGCGCACGGTGGCTGGGCTTATCTTTCTGTTGTCGATGGTACCGTTTGGCATCGGTTTTGTGGGATCTATTCGCGTCCGTCTTCCCCTTCTGATCGTACTGACGCGAGCTCCGGCTAGTCTGGCTATTCATTCACGGAACCCGCAGAAGTCACCCCGGGACACTGTTCTGCGGCTATCACGTGGAGCGCGGAATTGTCAAAGCAGTGAGTCGTAATGTGCATCTTTGCTCTTCGTGACCGCACTGACTTGTTACCAACAGACGTGCGTATCTTTACTACTCTGTACGCTCAAATTTCCTCTGATCTGTGGCGCGGTTAGTGGCGATAGCATCGCGGACATGTCTTATCTCGGCCGACCTCATCGTCGTCTTCGTGACCTGGTCCACCCTCGTATGGACTTCGGTGTCCAGAAGCAGATGGAAAAGCCGAAAAGCAACGTTTTCGAACATTCTGCTTCAGGATGGTGAGTTTCGTCTCTAGAACATGCGGTATTCGATAAAGGCTGACACTGAGCTCATTCCCCTACCAGGACTGTACTGCTTCGCGTAGGCTCCTTCATAACCACCTTCTCAAACCGACTACTCAGCTTACTGATTTCTTTGCAGAGCGATGTGCGCTTTGAACATACTGCACGTCGTGCTCACAGTGCTCGCGGTACGCATGTCTCCCGCTTCCAACGCCCACCGTTTTCATCGGACCCGGCACAGTTCACCGATCCCGCCAGCGGTCACAGCTACGTGACGGTGTTCACCCAACCGTGCGTTCGCCCATGTCGCGCCCCCCGTTGCCACCCTGCTGATCTGCCCGCCTCGCGCGCGACCGAAACAGGATGACCTCGATCTTCGTCTCCCGCTTCCTCGTCCGTCTGCAGCGCGCGAACCTCAAGGCGGCGCAAGACGGCGTGCTCTCGTACTCGGACGAGAGCGAGCCGTCGACGGTGCGCTTCGAGCGCACGATGGGCTCGCTGTGCTACACCTCCGTCAGCTACGACCACCGGCCAGAAGACGTCCGCGCAAGCGAGGGGGACCACGAGATGCTCGAGTACGAGTACGAGGATCGCATACGGACAAAAGACGGCACTCGTGACTCGTGAGACTCAGCCTCGGATTCGGGGTGGATTAATAGCTTATGATGCTGGTTTTATGTGCTCGCTGTACTATAGTTGGTGATCTCTATATTGTTGTCTCCTTTGCATGTGTCACGTCACGGGGAAGGCTTTCCTCAAACATGATGAAGGGCACAATATGTTCATTCAACTTTGCTACATATGAATCCGATATGGTGTAGTGGCTAACATTATCGCCTCTCACGCGATAGCCCGGGGTTCGATTCCCCGTGTCGGAATAGTTTTTAAAATTTTGACCTTTTGTCCAAGCACACGCCTTCGTCAAGCAATCCTCGTGATGGCACAATAAATCACAGTGTCATATTGTACAATTTCCCAACAGATAGTGTACATTTTTCTTTCCACATGACTCCATAAAGGGCAACCGCCCCGGACAACTCAGAAAATGGTCGTTCAGCAACCTGCAGGGACCGTGAAATCGTTCCTGTGGTTGGCCGCGTTCACGCCGAGTCCGCGGGACGCGAACGAGGTCCACAGCGTGCAGAAGTTGGCGCCAGCAAAGCGGTTCGCGTCCGCCTGGATCCACGCGTTGCGCGCGGTCAGGACTGGTGGCAGAGTCAAGGTGGAGATTAGATCGCCTGCGCGCGCGGGGCACACAAGTCAGGATGGACGCACAAGTGGGGTTGCAGGGCTGGATCGTGAAGGCGTCGAGGAAGAGGTGGAGGAAGACGGTGTTGCCGCCGGTCGTGCTGCGCGCGGGCTAGATAAGCACGCGTGCAGCGAAAAGAGAGAGAAGGTGTCTGCGCTTACGTCGCGTCCGTCTTCGCCGTCGCGGAGAAGCCGTGCACGCCCACGAGGCCGGCGTAGACGTTGTGGAGGATGTTCGCCCAGACCTCGCCGATGTCGTGCACCTCGGTGAGCGTCTGGAGGCTCGCGTACGTGAGCGGGTTCGTCGTCCTGTCAACGCGCGCGCGCGCGGGTGCCATGATCAGCTCGGGCGCAGGACGGGCGGCGCGCAGAACGAACGCACATGGACGTCGAGTACGGGTGGGAGCGGATCCCGGCGGGGTCGTTGATGACGTACTGGCCGAGGACGAAGTCGGGCACGGTCGCGTCCTTGTGCTCCGTCCACTCCGCCATCGCGTCCGACCAGCCCTCGCCCATGCCGCCGGCCTCGGTCGTCTGCAGGCAGCGGCCGGTGCCGCCGCCGGTCATCCGGTTGCTGATCCCGTGCGTGTTCTCGTGCGCGACGATGTCGTTCTCGAGCGCGCCGTCCCGCATCGGGCTCGTGAAGTCCCAGAGGAACATGCGCATCCGGCCGGACTGGCCGCTGTGGTGGGGTGCGCTCGTCGGTCAGTTGCGCGCGCGAGAACTACGGAGGAAAGGCGGGGAAAGGCGAGGGAAGGCGAGCGGGGGTGGGCAGAGAAGGAGAGGAGACGCACTCGGCGGGGGTCGCGAAGTCGGCGTTGTCGATCCCGGCCGAGTCCTGGACGGAGATCGTGACGCGGTCGTTGCCGGTGCCGCCCTTGCCGAAGTTGTTGGTCTGGAAGTTGAAGCCGGCCTCGGTGAAGCCGTAGATGTACGAGATGTCGTGGATGGAGTTGACGATGTAGAACGCGTTCGTGCGCGCGGCGTCGAGGTTCGCCTGCGTCGTCGGCGCGGCGTTCGGGTTTTGGGTGAAGACGAAGTTGTCCGTCGCCGACGACTGCTGGGTCGTGCTCGTCTGCGCGCCCTTGAAGGAAACGGCGTTGTTGCCGCTGGAAAGGAATTAGCGTGTTAGGCAATCAGAAGGGAAAGGAGACGACGTACTCGGTGTCCGTCGTGGTCGTGGAGCCGGTGCTATGCCAGCCGTCGGGGGAGGCGGCAGTGTTCTGGGGGTTGGTGAGAGTTTCGAAGCCCTCGGTGAGAACCTCCTTCTGGATAGGAAGGACAAGGTACTGCAAGGGCATATGCGTGAGAAAAACTTATTGGGTGAAGGCACGATTGATGCTTGCCGAAGCCCTCGCGACGAAGTCCGTCAGCTGAACTAGCTTGCCCGAGTGCGCGTCCACGAAGGCCTCAAACCATGCGCCAGTCTCGTCGTTCTGGATCTGCACGACGTGCGTAAGGGCGAGGGAGCCGTCCTTGAGGGCAACGAACTCGAGCGTCGCGGGGTGCTCGTTGAACTTGCCAGAGAGAGCGCTCTCAGCGTTGGCAATGGCGTCCTCGAGTGAGACCGTGGGGGTTGTTGATGGGACCGACGCTAGTACAAATCGTCAGAGGTGCAGTGAAACGAGGGTACGGGAAAACGCACTGGGCTTGACGAAGGACGAGCCAAACGAGACGACTTTGTTGTCCTTGTTGAAGGCTACGTTCGCCACTGCGTTAGAGACCGGTACGCCGTTCTAAGACCGATATGTTGAATGAATGAGGAAGATGCGAGCAAATGTGTAGAAGTACGCACGAACTGCTGGGAAACGAACGCGTGCTGAGTGATGTCGCTGGAGAAGCTCTTGCGGAATGCAACAGACTCGGCGTCCACACCAGTACGAGACTGGATGAACGCGGCCGTTGCATCTTCGATGCTGAACACGTCGCGCGCCGATAGCGCGTGGTCGAGTCCCTCACCGAACGTCTATGGCATGAGGTCAGAGATCATTCATTCCATTATTGTAGCCCTAGTGAAAATACCAGGACGAAGACGTACCTCAAGCGACGCCTCAGGGTGGAAGCTCTCGACGACGAGGGATGGACTGATGTTGCGGACCTGGATCGTCGTGTGCTTGAGGCTGCTCGCAAACGGAGCGGCGCTGGCGGAAGCGGCGCACACGACAGCGAGCACGACAGACCGGAAGAAGGCGTTGGAGAACTTCATCGCGATGTGCAGACGGTCCAGTCGAGTCGGGGGCGGTCAGGAGGGCGTGATGGACGGGATCTCGCGGAGGGTCGTCTGGCTTGTTCATGCGTTGTTCTTGTGACTTTTGTACCTTGCCTGGCTCGAGGCCGCTCGCCATTCTCAATGTAGATCCGGCCTCTAGTGCATGGGGACCAGCAGGGACGCGCGATGCGCGACGCATGGGCGGGTTCGCTATCGCGTCCAGCATGGGAACAGCGTGGTCGCGGCCGGCGCAATCGCTCGTTAAGTCACGTCGACCAAATTTCAAGATCTACGAACTTTGCATGCAATGGGGAAGAGGCTCAAGGTCGCGCGAGGCGACGTGGGGAAAAGAATGGGTGTGTCCTACGGGTGTGGGAAGGAGATGCATGCCTGGAGCTTCGTGAGCAGATCATGTGAGGTGCTCGGAGGTGGACGACGTGAAGGTGCGCACCTTTACGAGAGCTTCCGAGAGCCGAAATGATAGTCTACACGTGGAGGCAATGGACGAAGTGGATGCGGATGTGGCAGGTCGTGGGCGGCGCAAATGCGAAGTCCTTGGGCGCTGCTGTCGGGCCGGAAGTCTCCGAGTCCCAGGGAAACTTGAGCAGGTGGACAAGAGCTTGGCATTCTATATGTGGTGCGTTCTGATAACGACAGGGCATGGACGGATGCTAGCCCTTGAGCGCATTCAGAATAACTCAGTATTGGTTCGCGCTCAATGAAGTTTTGTTCACTGACTAGATGACAGGCGGCCAGAAAATCATCCTGGCGTAAGTTAATTCTGCTGAGACCATACTTACGTGCCATGAGATCCGGACTAGAAATGAGAGCATGAGGTCTTGAGGTGGAAGCGCGTCGCGTATAATGGCATTTGACAGCACCAGGTTGGGGCGAATTCTGGCCGCATCCACTGTGGTGACTCATCAGTAACATCCCTGGGTAGAGAAGAACAAAACGAGACAAACATGATGCCAATTGGCGGGGCAAAGGCGTGTTCTGTACATGCATACTTAGTGTACGAGCAACCCTCGTCGACGGCGATCATGGCACGATTCAGAGCGTTTGGTCCCTGGGAAGCTGAAAGCCTCGAGAGAACAGACGTGGCCAAGTCACGTGGTACAACTTGATGTGACAAGATTAGGTGATGTCACAGCGTGGCCGATATCGGGCCGAGAGGCTTGTCTGGATGCGCGGCATGATCCGTTACCGTCGGAATTCCACACGGCGAGCGCCCTGAATTTGATCTGCCCTCTCGGCTTGAGCTCGTCCGGCAAGCCTCGAGCGGGAGACCCGACCCACAACGCATCATCGCCCTCTCTCCTCTTTCGTCCTATCATGGCGTCCCCCCGCGTCCCCATCGAGGTTATCGAGCACATCATTGATGAACTCGGTGCGACTGAACACTCGACCGCGGCCCTCGCTCGTTGCATCCGGGTACACAAGTCATGGATCACCCGGACTCGCATCCATCTCTGGCGCACGCTCACGGTGTCTAGCAGCGAGCAACTCCCCATCATCCGCGCCACGTTCGACCGGAACCCCACTCTGCGACTCCTGGTCGAAGTTGTCCGGCTGAAGCCCGATCGCTCTGTGGAGCACTTTGCGCGAGGCCGCCCGCGTCCCTTCCCTTTCACTGCCCCGATTGTCCTCCTCCCATACCTTACACACATCCAGGCTTGGGAGTTTCTCGCCCATGGAATGACGCCTTTTCCACTCGTGCAAGCAACGTTGACTTCCCTGTGTCAGTATCGGGATGTGAAGCGGGTGATCATTTGGGGTGTAAAATTCAAGAACATGTTCCATCTCTACCCCCTCATGTACGCTTTTCCTTCGCTGGAGGAAATCATCGTAGAAAGCATGCATCTACTTGCTCCTCCGTCAAATAAGCCGCTTCTGTCTGCGCATGGCAGACTAAGGAGCTTGCAGCGGCTTCGGATCTTCGAGGTGACATCTGTTGAATTCACATCGCTGGAATCAGGCTGACAGCATTAATGCAGCCACCGTGGGTCACGGTGCCGATAATCCCTGCTGCGGCAACCACGCTACTAGTCAAGAACGCTGCGACGCTTGTGGACATCGAGCTAGAAGGCTATCGGCTTGGGGGTACGAGAGCATGACACTTGCTACGGGAATGGAGCTGACTCCGAAATACATCCGACCAGGCTTGGACCTCACGTTATTTCAAACTCTTGAATCGCTCTCAGTCTGGATGCAACGCCCGGTGCTTCGCGGTCAGCACGTACCACCGGACCATACAGTATTGCGCGCTTGTGTGAACCTCCCGAACTCGCTACGAACACTCCGTCTGGTGTATCAATCCGCGACTGTGTACTGCGCGTGGGACGATCCCTGTTGGAAAGAACAGAGAGATGCTGTCGAAGAATTATCCCGGGCTATATATCATCATCATGGTCTCCGCTCCGCCGGTCTCGTGTGTCTAGTCCACGACATTCCTCGGAATCACCTGCCAAGATGGGAGACCCTATTATCGCGATGGTTCGAAACTCTGCACAACAAACAACTGCTCCATATCTTGCCTCTAGATACCCTGGGTGCGTTCGCTTATCATAATATCGCAAACAGCAAGCACTGACTGTCACTGGAATGACAGGGCCTGTCTCAGAAAGGCGTTGCACGCCTTACGGATCTGCGACCCATCTCTGTTTCCTTGTTCTCAGTTCCTGTGGGAAATGGGCAGCAAGCATTGCGCATGGTGGGATCCACACATCGGAACTCACGATTTGGGATACCGAGCCGGGCCTCCCAGTGCTCAGCGAGTGGTTCAAAACAAGCGACCGCCCCGACAGTGACCTGTCCCATTGCGTTGCATTTTCCCCCGACGAGGCGCAATTTGCGCATGCTTCCTCCACAACCGTCCACATGTACTCTCTCCCCCTTGCGACTAGCTCTTCAACATCAAGCAAGATCCCCCAGAGAATCGGGCACCTTCCGCTGGATGCTAAAGACTCGCATTTTATTGGGGTTCTCTGGTCGCTGGACGGCACGCAGATATTTGTTCAAGACGCCTTTGCTCAGGTGCATGTCTGCGATGCTTTGAGCTTCGCGCATCTCCGCTCGCTCCTCGTGCCGTCTTCCGAACTGGCCGGGATTCAGCGCGAGAGACTCGTATCAGGACAATATCCTGCTTTGTTTACAGTCGGCGACCATGTTCTTTCAACTTTACGGTATACGCTTCCAGATGGTACGCTGCCAAAGACCTACGACTTTGTTTGGGATTCGAGCACCGGGATCTGCCGTTACAACTCGACCGACATCCAGAGCTCTATCATGATCATCAGCAACAAAGCCTTACGTATCGGAGGAACACAAGGAGAAGAACAGTTGCATATAATATCGGTATGCAAGAATGAAATTATGCGCACATCGAAGGTCACATCAACGACGGTTGAGGACACCCCCGTCGTCACGCAGGTTTTTCCGCCGTTAGACAGCCCAGTTTCCTTATCCCGACGAGTCCCTGAGTCATCGCCCTTCGCCGCCGACGGTGCTCGTGTTCTAGTGCTGCCGGATCCTGGGACGTGGTCGGTGGTGGACACGATGACCGGGTCCACGCTTTTCCGTCTCGATCATGCCTCAGCTACAGATATCAGTGGCATGAGGTGGTCCGCGGATGGACGGACGGCAATATTCGTGCCAGCCCCGATAGAAGACAAGCCCCCCGTTATCTACTGGATCTGGAACATCGAAGAAGGTACCACAAAGGCCGTCTTTCGGTGGCCAAACAACATTGGGCGTGGCGCGCACGAGATTTCGGCGGACGGGTCGATGGTCGGATTCTCAAATGATCGGGGAGATGTAGTTTTCCGCCGTGTCAGCGACCTCATGGCCTCTGCTTTGGACCCTTAGATCGCAGTCATGTCGAAGCTGATTCCTTGATTATTTTGTACAATTAAATACCTCTTGCGTCGGAGTGCCGGCCGGCAGCCTCAAAGGACACCGATGCACCCGTCCGGATGCATCGACATACGGGACGACCGCTCACTATCGCCATACATAAGCCGACAGGAAAAGGTGCTCTGCGTCCGGGTTTCCAATACTCCGTTCGCGGTCGACAGGGAGACATCGCGTGATCACTAATGAGATTCGCGCATTATATTTGAAAGTAGAGGTAGATAGAGGGATCGAAACGAACAGTGCGAAGGAGCCACACTGCTAGACTAGTCCTAGTGTCCGGCGCACCCACCCTGGAAGCCAACTCTTCATGTCGAATAGGTGAATGCGTGTCCTCGCCTGCAAAGGGCCCATCCAATGCTGGTCGCGCCGCCGTGGCCCGCCGAGCCGCTCTCCCGGCGCGCATCAGGGCGACCGTCCTCACGAACCGCACCAAGAGCTGTCCGCCGTCTTCCCAGTGGGTACATCCGGCGTGAGGCCAGAAAGCTCTGCACGTCGGGCACGGTTGGCGTCGTCTCCTTGGCCGCGGCCGGTAGCGCAGAGGCGTCGCGCTGGTGAACAAGGATGTCTAGGGTATCGCGATCCCGGCATCGTGCGCAACTTGTACGCGTCAACACGCGTCAGCATGTCGCGCGTCCGCGGCAGCGGCGCAGGGCCAGGGCGCGCTGCGTTCGCGGCTGAGCGCGGCGTCGTTCGCGCACCTGCGGGCGGTTCGGTCCGCGGGTGCGCCCAGCAGAAAACGCAGTTTTGCGTGTTCGCCACCAACGTCCCTGGCGAACGTAGTATGCCTGTAGGTGGCTATGAATGTCAGGGAGGTCATGGAGGCCGCCGCGACACGAACATAGATGGAATACGTGGTCACTTCCGTGGAACTGGAGTGGGTACTTACGAGTGGAGGTCCTTTGCAACGCATTCCAACATTCGGGAGTCGGACTCGTGGACAGTGGTTGATGTATGTACCGGGGACGTCGGGCCCGGGGTGGACTAGGCGGCCTGCGTGCGCTCAAGGTTGGCGGAACGGGTAGTGCGGGCTTGCGCTGGAAGGATCCGCGCGGAACAAGCTTGGGAGCCGCGCGGGCACCGACGGCGGGCGAGGGTCGTGACCGGACTCCGGACGGAGGTGATTGCGAATACGGGCGCGCGGGTGGGGACGAGTATTAGACGGGCAAGTTGACGAGGCTATGTGTCTTCATATTTGAGACCCGCCCGACGCCCCCGGTTGTGCGCACACGTCCTGGACGGGCTTAGGCTTGCACTGTGCGTAGTCGTCGTTCTCGCCTCCTGTGCTGCTGCTGATTTTACTGTTCGAGTGGGACGGCTGGAAAGGATAAGGGTTTCGTACGCCATCATCCCCCTCGTCGGTGCTGTGAACGCCAACTTACTGCTCGGCAGGACTTCGTGGACGGAGAGCGGTGGTACATGTTGGGCGTGAGCGAGCGACTGGGTGGCTGGAAAGACGAGTGTTTAGGCTACAGTTGGATAGCTGTGGGGACGGAAGAGGGGAACTGCTCGCCTGAGGCGGGCGCATACGGGCGCGGGGCGGGGTGACGTCGAGGAAACGCAGGTGGTGCGGGCCCGCGACATGTCTTCCACGTCCGCTCTGGTCGCGGCCCGGAATCGCCATCGGAGACCGAGTCGTGCGCGTGGACGTCCTGCCGAGGAAGGATGCCGACGACGAGCACGATGGGTTGCACGAGATCGAAGGCGTCCGAGAGCACGCCCAAATCGTCCTGCTCCGCATTTCTCGTTCCATCGGCCGCGTCCACTGCGTGAGATGGAAGCAAGCGAAGCACACGGGGGCTGATGTCGTGCGACGGGATGAGCGAGGCAGCAGCGACAGCGACCAGCGAAGTCGACGTACAGGAGTTCGCGAGCAGGGACAAAACCGTGATGAACGCGAGTAGTGGGGGAGCGGGAGGAGATGTGAACAAGTCGTGGGCATCTTAGCTGCAGATTCAACGCACCCGTGGCCCGTGGAGATGCCCGGCTGCCGACTTCAAAAACGCCTGATGCCAAACAGACGGCGTTGATACCACGCGTGAAGACGTCGTAGGCAGTGCACGCAGTTGAAGTGGGGGGTCGTAGCAAACGAAGTGGACGACCTGTAGTCAGTAAATGCAAATCCATGTGAGCACTGGGACATGGCTTACCCGGCAACGGCGCACCCAAAGGAGGCAGGGCTGGCCTAAGGCGTGCGCGCGCGTACAGGCGCACACAGGCGCGGGCGTGGGCGAAGGACAGGCTTGATCGAGAGAACGGCGTAAAGATGAAGAAGTGCGGAAAAGGCGAACGAGAGGGCGCCAGGACGGCGCAGCGCGCGAGAGGGTGTGCGCGAGCACCTCCGCAGATCGGGACGTGGCCGTCTTCGTGCGCCTGCACCCGCGAAAAAGACGCCATCTGAAACCGCGCATCTTTAGTCTTACGGCGGGGACGTCACGAAATTTGGGGCAGCGACGGTAGGATGGTGAGGGTGGGCGTTGCAGTTCAATCAGGCGGCTGCGCCATGGCCAGCGCCCCAGGATCTAGTAAGCTAGAGCTGACCGTGACGAAATGTGTGACGAAATGTGTGACGGGACACGCCCTGCCCGCCGCTCCGCTCATCCATTCTGAAGCTACACTGCTCGAAATGCCGCGCTACTTGGTTTTCCTCCTGGGTCTTTCCTCTCCTTTATCCTTGTCCAAGACGCAACTTCCAGTTTGATCCTGTGATTGCGTGGTCGCCAATCGGACTCGTATCATTCAGCCCCATTACAAGACCCATCATCAGCCGTTGGGACCTTCAAAACCCCAAGCCACACGGAGACGATGAGGGGTGCCTAGCAGGGGGTGCCTCCAACGCTTCTTAGTCTGCATGAGGGAAGTCTGCACGAGGGAGGACATGTCGGGGCAAGAAGTTCACGGGGAGTCGAAAAGTGCGTTCGCTCACATGTCGATGTACACCGCCAGTCTAACAAGCCTCTCTATGCTAATCCTTAGGTGTTCAGCTACAGCGTGCGCTTCTCACGCTAGATCGTTGCATCTGTGATGCCCAGTGCTCGCATGTGAAGCGCCTCGTAAGTCAGTGTTCTAGCGAACGGGTGCTTTCCTTGACGATTCGCGCGCCCCACAGCTTAGGACGGTCTGCGCTAGACAGTGGCTCGGCCAGCCAACGTTCAACGTTGCAACCCCGGCTTGGAACCAGATACATACACTTTATTTCACGCGCGCTTGATCCCCTACGTGCTCATCGAGAAGAAGCCCTTGATCCACTGCCCGCCACACAAGACCGCAAGACCCTTGCGCGCTGTGATCTGGTCTGCGTGTCGTGGACCGCTCGCAGTCGCCACCGGTTCTGGCACAATTTCATCGTTTCCAGCCACGAGCAAGTGTCGGGAATTTGCGGTGTGTGCGCATCCAGTCGTTCCTTCGTTTTCCTGGCCCACGCCGTTCGACTACGGTCAAGCTCGCCTGGACCACCCCCACAAGTTTCCCCTCCCGCAAGGCCATCCGAACGCCGCGAATGACAGCTCTCTACTGCCGTCACCGGCGTCGCCAGGTCACCCAATGGACCGCAAATGTTCGTTCAAGACGATTGTGCGCACGCCCACGTTTTCGACACCGAGATCTCAGGGCTCAGGGAACACGACACTCCGATCCGCGCGGCCTGGGTCTCTTCTTCCCTGGACGGCCAGTACCTCCTTTGACACATACTACGACGACGTTGTGAAGCACGTGGACAGGAACTACTGTCTGGGAACAAGTCACCTCCACCTGCACTCCCACCTTCACCAGCGACCGCACCGGCGCGAACGCACCCAGCGAGTACATTGCCGCAACCTCCGGGGCGTGAGCTCGCGAGCGCATGTACGTCGTCGCGCTGTGCAGCAACCGCCTGCTCACCGCGGACGTCTGTTTTCCCGAGGTCATCACCACCCTCAGGTCTCAACTCCTGCACCAGGCCGTATCATCCGCGGCGGAACTTCCGCCTCTTCTCCACAGACGGGACCCGTATTCTTGCCCCCGGGTTTCCCATGGCGTTCGAAGCACTCACCGGCACCACGCTCTTCGCACTGCCCACCGACCACCACCCCGCGCGGCCGCGCTCGTGGATGCCGGGGGCCGTAGGCGCGCACGAACTGGTGGGTCTGGGGGGTCGAGATTAGGACGGATGCGCCGCGCCCGAACGGTGGTGGGGTTCGTGGGTGGGCGTGGTTAGGCGTTCTTCTGTCGGGAGCGGGATGTCCGGTCGGGCTTACTTCTATCGTGCGCCGTGCAGAACGTGTGTGAGTGTACCAATCATTTTGCCATATATTTTACTTACTGTCGGAAACAACAGTACCAACCAGAGTCTTACGAAAACCTTGCATCTGCGATGTTTCTCAAAGTCGTCGTTGTCAGTCCTCACGGGCGATGGTCGGCAAGCTATGCCACTAATGATAACTATGTCACTAAGGGTTCAACATCATGTTCCAGCCCAGTCGCGTTCTCGCTATTCGAGACCCGCTCGGCATATGTGATACCCACCACTGTCCACGTCCATCGCCTTCCCTAATTACTCAACGGTGTCCACCGAAGTCCCTCGTGCCACCAGAAGCATATATATATTGGGCTCACCATTCCTTTCTCCGTCGGAGTTGCCGGGTCGTGGGATGGCGAGCAGCTCAAGTGCATATCTACGACGCCTGGAGCCTCGCCCACCTCCGCTCCTTCCGTACCATCCCCGGACTTGGCCGAGCTGACTCCGACACCTCACCCACGCTGCACACGGGCTCCGCCGCGTGAGTAGGAGGCGCGCTTGCGCGACGTTGGGTCGTCGTTTCAGTGTTCGGAGGGAGACGATCGGGCAAACGCGCCCTCGGCGCCGCTTGAGTCGACAAACCCTGGCGGGACGCTGAGAAGTCCGAAGGATGAAACAGAGCCCGCTTGAGGCTGAAGACGACGTTGCCGGCCATCACGCAATGCTTGAAAGTGGGCGCATTGCTGCCGCCGTACGTGCTGCCGTGGTCCGTTGTGGTCCCTCTCGTTGTATGTAATTAATCTATTGTGAAACCCGTTACCTTTAAGCTTAGACCCTCGCTAGTCTCACCAGGCGGTGCTCACGACGTACGCGTGCATGCACCGAGTCCGCCTGCGCACGCGTCCGCCTACGACGCGCGACGGCAGACGTCCGCCGTCGCCCGTCGCGAGCCCGCGTTCGATGCACGGCTGTCCGCGAAGCCAGAAGCGACTCAAGGCCTGGGGTGCCCGCACGGCGAGCGGGGATAAATACCCCCTCCCCGGCTCCTCCTACTCCCCACCGCGCTCTCCCAGTCCGCATCTCTTCTCTCGTCTCTCAAGCCCACTCACCCAACGTTCATTACCCCCACACCTCCACGCTCCCTACAACCATGTTCGCCCGCGCCGCCGCCTTCTCCGTCCTCGCCCTCGCCCTCTCCGCGGCCGCGACCCCGGTCCGCCGCGGTAGCTGCAACACCGGCGCCGTCCAGTGCTGCAACTCCACCCACGACGTACGTTTCTTCTTTGAACCCGCTGTCAGGCTTGACCGCGAGGGAATGCTGACGACGGTTCCGCGCCGCAGAGCTCCGAGACCGCGATCTCGACCCTCGTGAGCCTCCTCGGCGTCGACCTGAGCGGCATCACCGGCAAGGTCGGCCTCCAGTGCTCGCCCGTCTCCGCCGTCGGCGTCGGCAGCGGGAGCTCCTGCTCGGCGCAGGCCGTCTGCTGCCAGAACAACAACATCGTAAGTCTCCGGTCCTCTGCGGCGTCGTGGCGAGCGCGCACTCACATCGTCTCGCACTGCAGGGCGGTCTCATCTCCGTCGGGTGCCTCCCGATCACGCTCTGAGCATCCGGTGCTCCGCTTTGGAATGCGTGCAACGGTGGAGGAACGACGTGGATGTTATCGTATTACCAGATAATCCAATAATGGCTTCGGAATGACTTCTATGGCGTGCGCGTGTCCGGTTGAGGCGTCTTCGGAAGGGGTCTGAGTTTGTATTGGAGCCAAGTATTCGGACACGCACCTTTCGTCTAGGTGTGATGCAAATCTATTCACGAGGTCAACAAGAGAACGTACACAAGGAACTTGGGCGCACAGTCAATGTCCGACGCTCGCTATCCAACGCCGTCCGAGGATGTGATCTGCGACAGTCGCCGGGTGAGGGTGAGACCGCCCACGTCATCCGTAGCCTTGACGGCAGCTCGCTCCCTGCAGGAACCCGAGAGTCAGAACATGCGAGTACGCAGTCGAGACGTGCGACGAACCGGGCTGCTTCTGCAGATTGGTGCAGTAGCGGTGACTGGAGCGAGGAACCGGTTCGAGTGATTGATGGAGACGGCGACCGGGGCACTCGAGGTATCGAGAAAGCCGCACACCCGGATGTCGATGCCCACTTAAGGGATGGTGGAGGGGATGACAATGCATAGGAGCGTGCTACATCGACATCGGTAAAGTTGAACAGCGAGTAGATGATAGTACCAACAAGGGTTCGGCCAGGCTCTCTCTGTGCTCTGTAGCGAGTTGTCCAATGAAGAGCAGATGGGGGAACCGCGGTATGAGTCGTACTTTCGGAAGTCGACGTAGCGTCATCGGGAACCGGACACACCTCGTAGCCACCGCGGTCCGCGGCCCCTGGCCCCTCCCGTAGTGAACAAGCTCACCGGGACCACACCCTGCGCCCTGTACACCAATCCCGCCCCTTCAACAGCTCTGCAGACCGCCGCGTTTCCGAGGCCAGGGTAGTGGCGCAGACCAATAGGCCCAGTGGAACGTCGAGGAAGGCACCCCAAGCTCGGTCTCAATCCCGTGCGAGGCCGTCGTCTTCCGAAAAGGGAGTCCTTGCAACTTCCGCCTGGACAGTAGACTGCAAGAAGGGCTGGACAACGACCCGTGAATGGAGGGATGCCAGGCCACGGGCACGGGCAGCGAAGGGGCCGGCCTCAGACACGCGTTGAACTAGTGAGTTCGATGGCACAAGAGAGCGTAAGAGAGAGGTGTTTGATAAGGTACATACCTAGTCTTCCCACCCGTTCCTCAGACCAGGACGTATTGAAGTCGACATGTCGTAGTATATTCCTCGCCAGCACTCGTCGGATGGCGGTGTCGCGCGTGCGGGACTCATTCCAGCGAGGGTATGACGCGCGCGTCAACGAGCAGTGCTCGCAAAGGGTCGAAAGACGCGCCGAGTCCCGACTGCTCGAGTACTCACGCAGTGAGCTAGCATGGGAGGCGAGAACATCGGGATTCGGAGAGGCAGGTCATGCCGACACTGAAGCTGCGCACGTCCAGGCACTGTTCTGCACGCGGCAGAGCCGCGAAAATGTGTGACGAAATATGACATAACCGGGCTCTCCGCGCCATTCGGGGCGCCGGTACATGTGCCCAGCCGGCCCACAGCTCGAATATTGAATACCCGAATGCAAAGCTGTGGTCGCTCGTCCGGCGGATCTGCTTGCGAAGTTGCACTCGGCCGCAGGCGCACGCTTCGGGTTCATGACGCGCAAAGGTTCGCGTCGGATAAGCAAAAACCCTCGAGCGTGCCATACGTACGCCAATACGGACGGGGACGAGATACACTACCGACGGGTTTTGGACCGCGCTGGCCGGGCAGGAGGAGGTCGAGGCATGGGAATGTGGGGGCCGCGGACGGGCGCACCTACTTACTAGCAGTGAGTAACAAGTACGACTCGCGCTGCGCTGTCGAGGGAGGGAGGGAGAGAGGGCGTGTAGATGAGATTAGAGCATGGCGCAATGTATGTGGAGAGGCTGCGGATGAGTGCGAGAAGACGATGAGGAGATGCGGGGTGTACTGTAGAGCTGACAGATGGGGCGAGATGAGCGAGCGGGATCGAGATGCTGATGGGCGGCAAGGGTAGGTACGTAGAGAGCGAGCCGGTGGGAGAGAACGACGGCAGGAACCAAATGAAGGACGACAGCGACAGCAGCGGGCAGATGCGAATGCGAGCGAAGACGACCGTGAACCCTATGCAGTGGGCGGGAGAGGGCGAAGAACCCGCGGGAGAGACCGAGCGCCGCGCGCGGTCCCAGGCGGGGTCAAGCATCCCCGCACGCTTGCCTTCGCCCGACCTCACGTTCATGCGCACGGCGCGTAGCCCACGAACTCGAACTGCGGCTCCCCGCCGACCGTCGGGTCCAGGAACACGCCCCACTCCGCCCCAGAGAGGAAGAGGACGGTGCGGAGAGTGGGCCGCGCCCGGCACCAGAGCGCGAGGTGCGCGCGCTCGTGCACGCGCGGGAACGGCGAGCCCGCTGCCGCCGACGCCGACGCGCCGGGCGGGCGGAGGAACGCGGACGTGGAGGAGGTGGAGGTGGAGGTGGAGACGCGGCCGGGGTTCGGCGGCGCGTGCGGGTTCGGCGAGATCGGCGGGGTGATGGGCGGGAGCGGGAACTCGAGCAGGGGGGAGGGCGGGTGGGGCGGGGGCGAGTCGCGGAAGAGGCGGAGGGTGCGGAGGACGCGGAAGCGGGCGAGGACGCTCTGGATGAGCCGGTACAGCGCCTGCGTGGGGAGAAAGAAGGCGTCAGCGACCGGGTTCGCACGAGAAGAGCAGAGCGGTGGCAGATCGAAGGCAGCGCGGACGGCAGAGATGCTCCACAGCGATGCGGGGGGCGGGGAAGATGCGGGGAAAGAGACGAGGGACGCGCGAAGTGTGCGGAGAGAGGGGGGGAGAGCGTACCTCGTCGTCGAGCATCCAGCGTACCTCGAGCTCCTCCACAAACTCGCCCAACTCCGCGCCCGCGGACATGACGACGCGTTCGAGCGTGCGTCCGTCGAGCTTCGCGGACGCGGGCGCGATCGCGAGCCCGCGCAGCGTGCCCCGCGCCGCGGCGAGCGCGGACATGAGCGCGGACGGGCGCAGGCCGTCGTACAGAGTCTGCTGGATCGGTAGCGTGACGTGCGTGAGCGGCCGCCCGGGGGCGAGCGCCGCGCAGATGCTCACGGGCGCGTGCAGGCGGCGCAGGGCGGGGGCGACGTTCGCCGGGAAGGGCGAAGCGGGTGAGGGAGCGTCGGGGGCGTCAGACGGGTCTGATGGGAGGGTATCAGAGACGGGGCTGGTATCTGGAGACGGTGTGCGTGACGGCAGCTGGAATGCGGGCGGCAGGGCGGGGAGAACGAGGGCGGGGAAAGAGAGCGAGTGTAGGGCCGGATGGCGGGCAATCCAGGAGAAGAGTGCGGTAAAGTCGTCGGGCGTGATCGTTCTACACTGGATCGTGAGGTGGCGGAGGGAGAAGGTGGCGTGGCAGAGGAGACGGAGGTCGAAGTGGGGGAGGGCGAGGGTGTGGAGGTGGTCCATGTTCGTGAGCGCGATCGCGAAGGTGACCGTGTTGAGCGACGTCGGGCCTGCGTCGGGCGGGGGGAGCTCGCGGCAGGCGAAGGAGCGCACGAGTGCCGCGAGCGGTCTCCGCCGGGCGAGGAGGGTGATGCACTTCTCGACGTGCTCGTCGTCCGTGTTCCGGAGGTCGAGGGTTTTGTACAGGGCCTGGAGGGCGGCGGTGGAGAACGCCTTGGAGGTGCGCGCGAGAGAGAGCAGGTCGGGGTCGGATGCATAGGAGAAGACGAACGACAGCAGGTCTGGGGATATGCGGGCGACGACAGGGATGCTTGCCACCGGCTTGACTGGCCCGTTGTGCGCTCGCCATCGAGCGGCCTCTGCAGCGGCGGGCATGCTGACGCTCCGTCGCCGGATGAGGGGGTCGATGGAGAAGGACTCGCCTGCGATGTCCTCCCGTTCTTCGAGCTCGCTTGCGCGGCGGCCGAGCCCTGTGGGCATGCGGATGTCGAGCGACGGGGCGGGGGACGGCGAGCGACTGCGCCAATACGAGAGCGGGGTCGCGACATGGCCGACGGGGGCAGCCGCGGGCGTCCGGGACTTGGAGGAGAGCTTGGCGGCAAGTCGGTTGAAGGTGGAGGGGAAGTGGATGTGCTTGCGGAGGACGGAGGGCGGCTTGTCGACGGAGTAGACCGAGCCTCTGACGCTGCTGGCATACGTGTCGGGCTGGACGAGCGTGCGCTGGGGGCGCTCGGGGTGCCGACGGGAGCGGGAGAGGAAGGACATGGTGCAGGCGGCGGGCTCCGCGACGGTCTCGACTCTCAGCGCGTGTGCGGCGGGGACTCGGGAGGCGGGGCAGGGAAGTGAAGGCGGGAGCGAAGAGAGGAAGGCGCGTCGGCTCGAGGAAGAAGTACTATAGCCGACCGCCTCCTGGACGACGCGGCACGCGCGCCCGCTGCTCGTCGCGAGCAAAGCGTCCGCCGCCGTCGAGTCGCCGCCGAGTTGCGCATCGTCGGTGGCGTTCCCGCCTCGCCTGCCCGCCCCGATCGCCTCCGGCCCCGCCCCCGCCCTCGCCCTCGCCCTGCGCTTGCCCGGGCTCACTCCCGTCCTCCTCTTCGTCATCCGCGGCCTTCTCGCTCTCACGAGCGACGTCGCTTTCCTCGCGTCGTTGCGTCCGCTGCATCGCCGCTTCTGGCGCGCGGTGCCAGGCCGTGCCATCAGCGGTGGCCAGAATAATTTCTGATCGGCATCTCCCTCTCACATCGTGGCCCGTGCCGCCGCGGCCTTGGGAGGGAGTCCGAGCATCCGGGGCCGGGGGCACTCCCCCGTCCAGGAAGTATGCATCTCCCAGAGCCCACAACGACTGCGGTCTTTCGTCCGATGTTTCCGCGGGTGTAAAGCTTTTTGGGATCCTTATCTGGGAGCACAATGATCCGAACTATTAGGCTTCAAGCTGCGCTGGATTCCGTCCGGATGGTGCATTCACAATGCATGGGACCTTGACATACTCACTTCCTTTCCGGCTTTTCTGCAGGAAGATCACACGAGCATCCCTTGGTCGTGTGCTCAAGGATTCTCTTATGAACAGCCACCTAGGCACGCGTCGCGCGGCTCTGTTTCGTGCGCCCCTTACAACAGCCCGATCTCTAACACTGTTGTGTTTCTGAATGCATGTAGACTTGGAACGAGTCAAGAAAGTCCAAGCGCCGAAGTTTACATGGATTTTCTTTTCCATGTACTTATCGATGCTATGCCTCTCCGACAGCCGCGCCATCCGCCGAGGTCGTTTCTCCGCGGAAGAACTGGGCGCATAACTTCTTCCTTGACGTCCCTAATAGCACGCAGAGTGAGCGAGTGCTCAGTCGGAATGGAGAGACGACTAATTATATCATACCTAATAGCACGCAGAGTGAGCGAGTGCTATGGGCGACGTAAGTACATGTGTCGTAGACAGAGTACCGTAGGAGACATACCTCAGTCGGAATGGAGAGACGACTGAGGAGAGAAGCGCAAGCGCCAGCGCGAGATAGACAAGAGCGCGGGCGCGGCCGAGCGGAGTACGAATAGTAAGTAAGAGTAAGTAATAGTCCATCTAATCGAGTTGTAAACACCATTCTAACACTCCCCCTCAACGAGAAGAGACGGACGTAGGTGAGGAGAGTCCCAATTGAGCTGCGAAACGGAGGTGTGTAACCGGAGCGAGCGCCTTTGTGAAGATGTCAGCGACATTGTCCTCACCGCGCACATGCTTCACGACAAAGTGCTTGCGCTGGACCGCTTCATGAACCCAGTGCAGCGCGACGTTGATGTGCTTGGTGCGGTTCGACACAGCATCAGGCTGGTTGATGTATCCGATCGCGCCTGTGCTATCCATGTTCTGCGTGGTCGTGGTCGGTGGAGGTCGAGGGTTCGTCGGCATGAGGCGAAGCTCCTGGTAGACTGAGCGGAGCCAGAGGACGTCGCGTCCACAGTTCGCGGCTGAGTAGAACTCGGCCTCAGTTGTAGAGGCAGCGACAACGGTCTGCTTCCGTGCGGACCAAGAGACGACACCCTGGCCGACGAAGACACAGTGGCCGGACGTGGACTTCATCTTGGCCGTGTTTGCGTAGTCAGCATCGCACCAGGCTACAGGGTCGATCGGACCTTCGCCGCCCACAGTGAGGACGAAATTGCGGGTCTTCTTGAGGTACTGGAAGACGCGCTTGACAGCGAGGTAGTGTGAGCGATTCGGGTTCGCCATGAACTGAGCGACGTTCTGGACAGCCTTCGCAATATCGGGTCGAGTCCAAACAGCGATGTGCATGAGTGTACCGACAGCCGAAGCGTACTTGAAGTTCTTTATGAACGCTGCGTCCTTGTCCGAGAGCGAATCGACCTGGGGAGTGAGGCGTACACCGAGTTCCATGGGCGAGTCAGCTGTGCGGGCATCAGCGAAGCCAAACTCCTTGAGTGCTGCGTCAATCTTGTGCGTGTGGTTGAACGATACTGTCTTCATCAGGAAAACCCTCACTTGCTAATTAGCTCTAATTTGCCTAATTTGCTCTCTGGTAGATCTAATTTCGCGCAAATGAGTGCTCTCATGGAAAATCGATCTTCTTTGCACTAAAATGTCTCTCATTAGATCACTGAAAAGCTTATTATCACTAAGGTGACTACTTTATTGATGATTCACAACAATATAGAAGGCCAAGACGATAAAATATATTGGTCTCTAACTACAATAAACAGATATGTGTCTGGCTACGTCTTCCGCATCGGGGTCCCACTCAAAGTGGCCGCTGACCCGGGCCGTGAGGGCAACGTGGGGGACACGAGGCGGGCGAGGAGGGAGATGCAGGGGTGGGCGAGGAAGGGGACACGGCGACGTGGGGGCAAGAGGGTGAGATGGGCGATGTGCGGAGGAGACAGGCGATATGGGCGACACGGGGGCCACGTTCGGGCGACGTGAGCGAGATGGTGACGCGGGAGACATGGGCGACGCGGGGGTGAGACGCGGGCGACGCGAGCAGTGTGGGCGAAGAATCCAATGACATGGACAAGGGCGAGGTGGGCGTGATGCGAGGGGCAACGCGGGGGCGAGACGGGCACATGAGACGAGTCGCAAGGGTGAGGTGGCGACGCGGGTGGCACAGGGGGCAAAGTGGGCGCGGGCGAGGTGGGTGATGCGGGCGAGGGCCGACGCGGGCAATCCAGGTGAGATGGCTGAGGCGGGCGAGGTGGGAACGAGCTGACGAAGACACGGCGGAGACGCGGGCGACGGGTGTGACGCGGGCGAGGTGGGCAACGCAGACGACGCGGGGACAACGTGAGGTAGGCGCGACGCGGCAATGTGTGTGACGTGGGCGAGGTGGGTGACACGGGCAAGGCGAGCGACGCGGACTTGGGCGACGCGGGGGAGGTGGGAGCGATGCGGGGGGCGACGCGGGCGAGATGTGGGCGGCGTGGGCGTGGAAGTGTAGTCGAGGTTGAACTTGACGTACTGGCCGTGGAGCTGCCAGCGACGCTTGTGTTCCGTGCTGGGCGTACGGACATGAGGTCGAGTCCAAATCTGCAGCTTCGCGCAGAGGTTATCGAAGACTCTACCGGCGCAGCGGGACCTGATGGGGGCTTCGAGAGCTGGGAGAGGGTGCGCAGGGAAGGGCAAAGTACTCACCATGGAAGGAACTACATAGTTCCCGAAGAATCCGAAGGGATGCTTGAAGGGTGAGAGGCTGGTGCGGTCGACGTAGGGGAGGCCCGCGCAGAGTGGCTGGAAGGTGATGAGGCAGATGGTGGGGACGACGAACGCGGTGCTGGCAGTGCCAAGCGCGCAGTCCGCGCGACGCGCGTTCGTTCCCACGCGAGGCTGGGCCGCACCTGCCAGCCGCCAGCGCATCATCCCTCTTGCTCTTTGCTTGCTCTCGTCGCCGTCCTCATAGCCCCACTCTCCCCTTGACCTCGCCCACCTTATCCGCATCGACGTCTTGCCCCTCGCCCGCGCCACCTGCATCACCCCCGTCACCCCGAGCAGGTCACCGCGAAACCCCCGCCCCTGATACACATCTGCGAGAGTAGGAGAACGGGTTCCTCCGACGCATCAATGAGCTCCGCCGCCAGCTCAAGGTCAAGGACTGCCCCGTCGACGTGTTCCGCCTGGGCACCTCCGCCCAGGACACCTGCCGCCGCGGATCCTACACCCGCACGCTCTCCGACGAAGACCACCTCGACAACGTTGGCACCAGGGCTAAGTGCCGCCGCACTACAGACACGATATGCGTGAGTGCACTTGTTCTATCGTAACATTTTTCTTTCCTTCCTCTTTCCCCAACATGCTCACACTACAAGCTTGTCAAGCCGGGGACGAGCAGCAATTGGTGAGCACCTTTCCGTTTTGCGTCGCACTCTGCGCGAGCTTATCGCCCCCGTTGCCTACGTTGCGCCCGCATCGCCCTCAACACCTGCGTTATGCACTTTATCTGACTCACCCGTCTCGCCGCTTTACCCGCATCGAACACATCGCCGTCATCTGCGTCGCCCTCGCCCACATCGTCCACGCCCGCGTCCCTCACGTCGCCCGTATCATTCCAATCTACCGCGTCGCTCGCTTCCGACTTCTCACGCACGTATTCGCGCCAACCGGCGGACCCGCGTCGCCCGATGGAGTATGGTGAGTCCTGTGCGGATCTTGACAAAATTGTTTCTGAACGACAGTCGTGGCGCGACGAACACACCAGCGTGCAAGCACAAGTAGACCCACGCGAAGACGAGCTTGTTGGACTCGCACGCGGGGTACCAGGCCTGTGTCAGTTGCGTCACCCACTTTGCCCACGTCGTCACCTCACCCATTGTCACTCAGATCACTCACCACACCCACTTCACCCGCGTCGAGTGACACGTCAGCGTCCTGCCCCCACGTCGCTTGCGTCCACTTTGCTTGTGTCGCGCCTGTATCATCCACGTCGCTCACGCGCCTCGTCGGCCCTGCATTGTCCAGATTGCCCGTGTCGTCCACCTTGTACGCGTCGCCCGCGTCGCCCTTGCCCGAGTCGCCCTCGACCGCGTCGCAACATCGCGCGTCGTTCATCAGATCGCTACCTGTTCCCCATGACCCCCATGTAGCTCATGCCTGGCTTGCGTGATCCACATCACCTGTGTCTCACACGTCGCCCGTGCAGGGCACGTACAGAGAGGCTGTTTACCTCGATACTATATCATCATATGTAGTATGCAGTTTGTACCTTGTAGCACGACAAATATAAATTTGTTTTCTTCTCATACACTTGTGAGATCTATTGAGAGCATTGTGTGAACTTATTAGGCCCTCATTGAGTGCTCCTTGAGAACTAACTTGCAGCTAATGAAGAGCTCATGAAGATCTAATTTGTATCTAATTAGCTCTAATTAGATGCCTTAGCAATGTACTACTCTAATATGCTCTAATTAGAGAAGACTTGCTAATGAGCACTAATTAGAGAGAATTTTCTCTAATTAGCAAGTGAGGGTTTTCCTGATGTTTGCCTTGAGATCGCGTCCGACCTTGACACCGAGAAGGACCGATCCTGCGATGGGTCCGTTGTCCTTGATCGGGACATGCGATGCGATCTCGGCCTTCAGCTTCTTCATCAAGCGTTCAGACGGGCAGAAAAGTGCGAGATCGTCGACATGTGAGGTGATGATGGTGAGGTCGTGGTCGCCCCGGATGTGGTAGAAGACGCAAGGGTCAGATCGACAGATCTTGAAGCCAAGTTCGATGAGGATAGCGCAGAGCTTCTTGTACCAGAGATGGCCGGACTGCTTCAGACCGTAGAGCGCCTTGCGGATGATCCAGACGAAGTGCTCCTTGCCTGGCTCCTCGAAGCCGGGTGGCTGCTTGACGTACGCCTCTTGGCCTTCAGGTATCTCGCTGTTCAGGAACGCGGAGTTGATGTCGACAACGTGGATGGATGCGCCGCGCATCGCCATGATAGCGCAGATCGCGCGGAGCGATTCAGGCTTGACGACAGCGGCATACGTCTGGTTGGTGAAGTAGTCGACGTTGGGCTCCTGTGAATATCCTTGAGCGACGAGACGAGCCTTGTAGCGTAGAATGCGACCGTCCGTGTCGCGTTTGACTGCATAGACCCAGCGCGTACCAATCGGCTTGCGACCTGGAGGCAACTCGACGAGCTCGAAGCTGTCTAGCTCAGCAAGCGAGTTGATCTCCTGGAACATCGCGTCCTCCCAGTCGTTCGCGTCCGGTGATTCCATCACCTCCTTGTACGTCCGTGGTTCATCGCCTGAGAGTCATCAGCAAAAATGGGGCTTACTCCAGAGCGCTTTGTGGGATACAGAGTGCTCATAGAGTGCATGCCGCTATTGTAGCTAGGGATACCAGTCATATTTTTGACACTGTAGCCCAGGGATACCGCTCGGGTGGACTCATATGAGTGGGCGCTTTGTAGCCTCTGTTCCCACTCATATGAGTGCACAGCCACCTGTGTAAGCCGCCTTTCACTGCCTGTCTATAGCATTGTTACTATGCCACTACTATTACTGCTTTATTATCATGTAGCCCAGGCTGCTGCTCATATTAGCCTGTCGCTTAGGCTACCGCTCATATGAGCATGTTACTTAGGCTGCCACTTGTATGAGCATGTTGTTTGGGCTCCCACTCATATGAGCCTGTCACTTAGGCTACCACTTGTATAAGCCTGTTGCTTAGGCTGCCACTCATATTGGCACAGCGCTTATCCCGTGTATTGCCACTGTGGCTACTATAAATTTATATATGTTATAGCCTGCTGCACCTGTATGGTTACAAGCTTTGGTGTGCACCCACTACAGATCCTTAGCATATGAGAGTCGTCCACCATCATTAGCTTTATATACCATTCCCGCACCTACCGTCTCGCTTTGCGATTGCCTCCTAGCTCCTCCCTGTCACCTCTCCTACCCGTCTCCCCCGCTATCATGAGCCTCCCCGAGGTCAAGTGTGTCCCTCTAATCCGACCTGACTTCCTGCTCGTCTCCGACTTGCCCGACCTCCATGCTCCTGCGCTCCGTGACTGTAACATATACATATATACAAACACGTTCTCACCCTTGCTTATGGTTACTAGTATTTTCTCTGAGCACCCATTCATGTCCATGGTATGTACACCAACTCCTGAGTGCCCGTTCTCAATCACACATGTGTGCAGACCACCCACCCTGGTTCATAGTATAGTATGCACTGAGCACCTGCTACTACTATTACACCCCATCCACCAACTGCCACCCTACCCCACTTTGAGTTCTCCACTGTTTGACATTCGCCCAGGATTTTTTTTGTGCCACACATGTCTCCCCATTCTTTGTAATACATCCTATGCATGTGAAGCACACAATGATTCTTGTGCACATATAGCACTCTGAGTGCTCCACTTCCATGGGCATACACACTCTGAATGCCTATTTTTGATGGCTGTATACCCTCCAAGCACCCAATTTCATGGGCATACACACTGCCATAGGCATACTAACTCTGTGTGCCCACATTTGATGGCTCTCCTCCTCCGAGTGCCTGTGTGTGGTGGTCATTCAACTCCGAGCGCCCGCCTGCAGGTGGTCATTCAACTCCGAGCACCCACCTGCAGCCTGGCAGGTGGTCGTTCAACTCCGAGCGCCCGCGTTTGATGGTCATTCAACTCCGAGCGCCCGCCTGCAGGTGGTCATTCAACTCCGAGCGCCCGCCTGCAGGTGGTCATTCAACTCCGAGCACCCATCTGCAGCCTGGCAGGTGGTCGTTCAACTCCGAGCGCCCGCGTTTGATGGTCATTCAACTCCGAGCGCCCGCTTTTGATGGTCATTCAACTCCGAGCGCCCGCCTGCAGGTGGTCGTTCAACTCCGAGCGCCCGCGTTTGATGGCTCTCTTCCTCCGAGCGCCCGACTGCCACACCCCGAGCCCGCACCCTCATTACCTTACCCTCCTCCGAGTTCTCCACCGTTCAACGACATCTCGGGCTTGTTTTATGCGCGTTTCTACCCTCTTTCTAACGAGCCGCCCCGTTTCACCATGCGACCCGCCGTCGTCCCGCTGCACGTCGTCTTGTGCGACACAAGATCGCCCCCCACATCACCTACTTGATGCTCCCATCTCTTGACGGTTCGGAGCTCGTTTTTGACGCGGTTAGGTTCGTTCTCTTCCCCTCTTCAAGGCCGTTTCGATGCACCTTTGCGCGCGTTGGTACGCCCAGCCAATTGCCCATGACAGCTGCCGCATTGCCACCTTTTTGCCCTATCTGCATCTTCCTCAACCCCCGCGATCTTGAGCACCACGGCCACATATCCCGTTCGTTCCGCACGCATTTTGGTACGCGTGCTCCCCTCATTACCCCGCATATAACGCGCCCTCGACGCCGCGAAAACGCGCAGCCGTTCACCCGCAGCAACCACTGCTCTCTCCACACCGCCTCCAGCCATCCTCAGGCTTGGACTCGATGCGCCGCTTTCCCAGTTTTGCTCCGATCGCACTGAAAATCGGAGCTCAGATTGCCCTCATCAATTCCTTTCAAACGCGCCCACCTTCGTCTCGCCCGCCGCACTCGTTCGCCCGCTGTGCGCTGTGCAAGACCGCCTGAAATCAGCACTCCCTTCCCATCTTCCCAATGCTCGATCTCGCCCACTTCGCCACCTAAGAAGACGTGGATGGGTTCATTCGTCGCGCGTCATCAAGCCCTTTCGATCGCGCGCTTGGATGTAGCAGTCGGAAGAGATTTGCGCCATGTATGACAGGATATGTGTATGTTCAGCTTACCTTGCCCCCTCCTCCTGCCTCCCCCAGTCTTGCCCTCGCATCTTGCCCGTTCCATGTCCGTTTGGCGTGCGTTTTGGTGCATAGGTTAGCATATATCCCCTCGTTTTAACGCCACCTTACACATTGTGATCTGTGCCTTCCATGATGTTATATTTTGGTGCTCAGCACCTGTTTGATCTGACCTATACTGTATACACTATCAACCCCCTCAGTCTCCCTCATTTTTTTGGAATGAAACTGTACACCACATATGAATGCAGTGCTGCACACTGCAGCATATTGATATGAGTTGGTCTACCTGTACTGGACACCTTCTCCCTGGGAAGTCACCCTTCACAGCAGCATGTGTAGATGGTAATTCACCAAGCTGTTTTCTATATCAGAGAGTAGCTTGTAAGATCTGTGGGTGTGCAAATTTGGAAGACAGTAGCTGCAACAGTGAGGGAATAATGAGGTATGATATTTTAAAATGACATACCACACACAGACATGGGATAATAGTGTATCACATTCCGGACACCTAGATATATTCACAGACAATATTCTGAATGCAATGCAGAAGATAGCGCACAGAAATCCGGATACTTGGTGAAGATACAAGATATGTGTGGAAAGTGGAAGTTCTGAGAAAACACGACATGTATAAGTTCATGTGCAGACATGATATCAACGGGCTGTTTGCTGAATCACACCTGGATACTATTAAGGTGCTCAGATCGGAATTTATACGCTTATCGGTGATGAGATGCATGTGGGGGATCATATGTCATTATTTTATGACATACGGTACCCTGGAACGACATGTGCTCCGATTAGAATTCAAAAACATGGATTAGAATGGGGTACGTCTCAGCTATCCAACACAGAAGAGACCTTGAAAAACGGTTGAGAACCAGTGGAGATGTGCAAGATGAGCCAGAAGTGTGGGTTATGCTGAATGTGTTCTGACCTCGCTTTTACTCCAACCAAGCTTCTGGCTCATCTTGCACATCTCCACTGGTTCTCAACCGTTTTTCAAGGTCTCTTCTGTGTTGGATAGCTGAGACGTACCCCATTCTAATCCATGTTTTTGAATTCTAATCGGAGCACATGTCGTTCCAGGGTACCGTATGTCATAAAATAATGACATATGATCCCCCACATGCATCTCATCACCGATAAGCGTATAAATTCCGATCTGAGCACCTTAATAGTATCCAGGTGTGATTCAGCAAACAGCCCGTTGATATCATGTCTGCACATGAACTTATACATGTCGTGTTTTCTCAGAACTTCCACTTTCCACACATATCTTGTATCTTCACCAAGTATCCGGATTTCTGTGCGCTATCTTCTGCATTGCATTCAGAATATTGTCTGTGAATATATCTAGGTGTCCGGAATGTGATACACTATTATCCCATGTCTGTGTGTGGTATGTCATTTTAAAATATCATACCTCATTATTCCCTCACTGTTGCAGCTACTGTCTTCCAAATTTGCACACCCACAGATCTTACAAGCTACTCTCTGATATAGAAAACAGCTTGGTGAATTACCATCTACACATGCTGCTGTGAAGGGTGACTTCCCAGGGAGAAGGTGTCCAGTACAGGTAGACCAACTCATATCAATATGCTGCAGTGTGCAGCACTGCATTCATATGTGGTGTACAGTTTCATTCCAAAAAAATGAGGGAGACTGAGGGGGTTGATAGTGTATACAGTATAGGTCAGATCAAACAGGTGCTGAGCACCAAAATATAACATCATGGAAGGCACAGATCACAATGTGTAAGGTGGCGTTAAAACGAGGGGATATATGCTAACCTATGCACCAAAACGCACGCCAAACGGACATGGAACGGGCAAGATGCGAGGGCAAGACTGGGGGAGGCAGGAGGAGGGGGCAAGGTAAGCTGAACATACACATATCCTGTCATACATGGCGCAAATCTCTTCCGACTGCTACATCCAAGCGCGCGATCGAAAGGGCTTGATGACGCGCGACGAATGAACCCATCCACGTCTTCTTAGGTGGCGAAGTGGGCGAGATCGAGCATTGGGAAGATGGGAAGGGAGTGCTGATTTCAGGCGGTCTTGCACAGCGCACAGCGGGCGAACGAGTGCGGCGGGCGAGACGAAGGTGGGCGCGTTTGAAAGGAATTGATGAGGGCAATCTGAGCTCCGATTTTCAGTGCGATCGGAGCAAAACTGGGAAAGCGGCGCATCGAGTCCAAGCCTGAGGATGGCTGGAGGCGGTGTGGAGAGAGCAGTGGTTGCTGCGGGTGAACGGCTGCGCGTTTTCGCGGCGTCGAGGGCGCGTTATATGCGGGGTAATGAGGGGAGCACGCGTACCAAAATGCGTGCGGAACGAACGGGATATGTGGCCGTGGTGCTCAAGATCGCGGGGTTGAGGAAGATGCAGGAGCAGCAGTGATTTCCCTGTTACAACTGTTGTGACAGCTTATCGGCAGGGCCAGATGCACCCGGAATAAGCGCCCATTGCGTGGGAGCCCGTAAATGCTACAAGCGCCCGAAACAATGGAGGCGCGGGAGTCGAACCCACGGCCTACACAGTTGTAGCTAGTAATCTACACCACTACACCATAGTCCTTTTCATATGGGTGGCTGTTTACAGGTTATACCACCTTATACATGGCTCAAGCCTTTGAATGCTCCACAGAACGCGGCCACAACACATGAGAGGGGTGCCATATGCGTGCGAGAAATACGCTCAATTCGTTCATCATATGGCACAACACTTTAAAGAGAGTAGCGCACCCGAAAGAACAGACTTGCGTGTGGATTCCATGAATTGAAAGTCGAAGCACACGATGTACGCGCACAGTAGACCATGCACGCTGGGGCTGCATGTAGATATAGAGGATATCAAGATAATGCGTACAAAGACGTAGCTCCGCTCGCGGCTCCCACAGCGTGTGCATGGGTGTAGAGTGGACAGCAGGCGCGAGACTTTGTGCGTGCGAAGGATGCAGTGCGAGGGCACCACGCGCGCACGTATCATGGCTTTGTGCGGTAGGTGCGAGGGCTTGCGTGAGGGTCGCGGGCCACGCGTGAATGACAAATGAAAAGTAGTATATTTGACAAAGCTGAGCCAAAGTAATGTACATGCAGGAGAGACATGCGCAACCAGACAAAGCGTGTTAAGTGGGGAACACAGGCACTCTCGCGATCTCGTGCACGCAATAGTCCGTGTGGCGCGCGCGAGCCCGTCGCGAGAGTCCATGTGGCACGCGTGAGCCCGTCGTGATAGTCCGTGCGGCGCACGCGAGCCCGTCACGAGAGTCCGTGTGGCGCGTGTGAGCCCGTTGTGGTAGTCCGTGCGGCGTGCGAGAGTCCGTGCGGCGCACGAGAGGCGCCACTCCGTGAAACTGAGCGGTGGCACCTTCCGGAGCAGTATCATCTATGAGGTGATAAGTATGGCATAAGGATGTAGAAGAAGAGGGGCGTATATACTATATTGTGAGTACAGAGGTAAGAGGACATGGTGTACAACGGACGAGAGAGAGACGATATGGTCTTACTACAGACGGTAGCCGTAGGAGCCGAGACATTGTTCGGGTTTGGGAAAGGCCCCCTTTGAAACCTCCGCATCGGCGTACGCGTAAGCATGGCGAGCTGTGAGCGAGGCGCCAGGAATGTCGGCCGGGGTATAGGGGATGGCGTGGGCAATCCAAGGGGTGTTGTAGCCGCTGCAAGAGGGCGTCGGGATGTCGACGACTATGGACATTTGGATGGTCCTCTCCCCCGAGCCCAGGACTAGGAGAATGGTGCGAGACCGCGCGAAGCGACTTCGGTGCATTGAGGAGCCGGTGGATGGAGGAAGCGCAGATGACGAGGCGGCAGATAAAGAAGCAGGAGCACGGAAGTGAACGGGAGTGACTTGGAATGGGTGAGATGCGAGATGAGGAAACCTCTACTAGTCCATGTCGAGGTCGGGAAGTCCGAGGGCGGTGTTCCAGTCCGATTTCGTCTGGTGAAAAGGATGAGTCGATTTTTGGGAGGTGGAAGATATGACGCACGAACGGCGTCTTCAGGCACATGTAAGCCTTCTTGCAGCCGTCGAACAATACAAGATACCTATGCGCTTGCCTGACAGACATTCAGTGACGTTGATGATGCTGGAGGGAGCACTTACTTTTTGGCGTATGCGGCCTTGCCTCGTTCGCGGGAGTGTTCATGCAGTTCCGCATTTTGCAACCAATGCTGCCTGAAAAAGCCGAAGAACACCGCGGTTCTCCACATCTCACGCCGCAACAGCTTGCGCTCCTCCCGCCACCTCGTGAGCATCGCATGTATGCGGAACCAGTGGACGCTCTCGACTGTGAACCCGACCTCAGCTGAAGTAGTGTATCCAGGCAGGGTACTCACTCTGGTCCTTGTACCGCTGATGTGCGGCCGTCCCAGCCTTGTCGACAACTGAAAGACTGTCCCAGATCCACGACTGGTCCCCCTGAGCCGAAATGACCATCGCCTTGAGATCGGTTTCTTCGAGCGGATGGACTGCGGGGTCATCCGGTGGCACGCCTAGACGGAGGAGGCATTTGACGACCCTTCGGTACTTGTGTGCTGCCGCCTGCACGTCGCCGCGAGCCGATCCGAGGGTAGAGGAGATCTCTGTGCGCACCCTCTTGCTCCGTGCATGCTTTTTGCTAAGTTTCACAGAGAACGAGAGGATCAGTGCAGTGCGGACCTCGTCGAGCGCTTCCCGGGCCTCATCTCGTCGAATCTTAATCTCCGCTTCCACAAGAGGCACAGCTGGGGTCTCCTTCAGTACCGCTTCATGGAACGAAGAGGGAAGCGCGATATCGGCATTGTAGACCTCTTTCCACAAAGAGGCCTTGCGCTTGGCGCGTGGGGCCTTCCAGGCAGCTTCAGACAGTCGCGGGAAGTTGGTCTTGGGGCGTCCTCTTCGGAGATCATCAAGGCTGCATCTTGTAGTGCGGGCTGAATGTGGGCGTCCCAGAGTGGGGACCACTCCGCATATCGCTTGAGAAAGTCGGCTTGCTGATCCACAACACTAGACGGGACCCTGCCCTTGAGCATGAGCGCTTTGAGGAGTTTTTCACTGCACATCGTTTGAGTACATGAAAGCGGAGAGT